TGTATTGGCAAATGTAATAGATGCTGCATGTACTGTGTTGGCAAATATTGTTTGCATAAAGAAAGCAATAAAATTAACAACTTTAGAGATTTATATATGGGCATGAACTTTATTTGTAATTAAATTATTTACTGTATGCATCTGTTTGTAAAGCCAACTGCCATATAGGCTATATATGTGTGGAAATATTATTAGTAATAAGACAGCAAGACTTTCAGATATTGGTAATCTATAGTTCGCACATTGTTTTAGTTGATATCTTGTTGTGTTTCTTAACTAATATTAGGTAATGCCCTGTGGCTCTTTATCCATCAGAAATATTTAAAACTTAAATGTGTTAATCGGGAACAGAACTTAAAATATTCATCGTAGTTGAAAATTAAAGAGACAATCTTTGTATTTTCACGTTTTACATAAAACAAATTTTGTCGATATACTAATAAAAATATTCACAATTAATGACGTATTCCTTAATGAAATAAGGTTAACAGCACGCAGACGATAGCAATACATGTGCATGAGCAGATACAAAAACCCCCGAAGCGCAGGAGAGAACCAATCAAACTCTGGGAGCACAAGTTTTCAAGTACAGGGAAATACCTGATCTCACGTAGCAGACTTAACTCGGTGGTAATGGGCAGCGCGCTGACCGTATCTGTCACCTGCGTGCTTCCGTATTATTGGAGGATGTTTTAAGGCAGGACCTGTGAGCGAGATTCAGCTGACCCCTTCTTATATCAAGATTGTTTACCAAGATGCCAATACGTTACCATGGTGCTGAGATAGTGAATGACAAAGTCTATATTCGCTTATTGGTTGCGTTACTACATCATACTACACAGATACTCTCTCATATTTGACAAAGCATCCGATACTTGTGAGGAGCTCAGGCCACTTCCATTCTTGTATGGTAACACCAGAGACGCGGCAGTAACTTGGAAAGTGGTGGTCCTTGGAAGAAATCACAAGGAAAACAACGCTTTCAATATTGTGATAGACACTTCTTCCTCATCTCCAGCAGCATGCGCGATGACTATCATGATGGTGATATTATGATGGTGATATTATGATGGTGATATGATGGTGATATGATTGTGACTGCAGAGGAAGTCTTTGCATGGTGCCTGAGATAAGAAAGAAGTGAGCATGGCAGTGACCATTGCTAATATCGTAATGATGAGTGGATACGATGGATCTGTTACTAAATTGAATTTTGTTGAATCATACTGTCCCTGCGTCTGTGTTGAAATTATAACATTCAACTTTAATATTTATTATATTTTGACATAACGAGTGGACAGAATTCTCATCCATATAACATTACTGTAATATTGCATGTCATAACTTCTTCACATCGTTGGAGGGTATTTCTAAATGGTTCCCATTGAATATGTTCTCGCTGTTTACTTCGTAGCTTGAGTTCGTGAAAATTCGTGCTGCTCCTTTTTGTAGTTTTTGTAATTTGTCAGTGTGTGTACTATTTTTGTGGTGCCACACGGAAGAACTAGGAAGTTGTACAGACTTTGGTGTGTAATTTTCAGCTCTTCGTAACAAAGCAATGTTGTTTCATATTTTCTTACATTGGGCGTCAACAAGATCATGCCATTTGAGCTGTTTATCTGCTACTACGTCTAGAAATTCTATGCTTGCTAGTGTGCTGCTCTTTATATTCTTTAATCTCCAATGACAATGTTTGGACACAGAGTACTTATATACAGAGGTCTCACTACTGCGGGAAAACCGTAAGGTAGTTTTTACCAAAACAAGACGCCTGCTCAGGCGTTCACACTGGCCTGAAAATAACGAGATACGTGCTATGGTGCAAAAGGCAGGAATACAAATCTTAAACCGCAAGCAAATTTTATGGACTTTTTTTTAAAAAATAAAAGACCTTTTCGGGAGACGTGCAAGTCAATTACTAGGAGTTACTATCGCAAGGAAAGTGCTGCCTTTTATGGCTTATGAACTGAATGCAATTATGCAAAAATTTATACTTCTACACAATTCGTGGTTATATCCCCAATGTTTCCTTCTCGTTCATCATTTAAGCCCGTTCACAAACTCATTCTTAAATTGCGTGCACGGAATACGAGTAAATAGCCAACATGAAAATGAAGCCATTGGGTCAAAAGTGGATATTAAGGTCTATTACCTATTAGCTGCCAATGCACACTACTTTAGTATTAACTCTGGCTAACGCCAGACCAATTTACACTGTAACGCCAGACGATTTTACTTGTTAGTGGCAGAGTACTGTCAGTAAATGGGTTAACAAACACATCTGCCAATGTCTCTTATTAACCCATTAACAGGCAATGCACCCTGCTTTAGTATTCTTTAGTGACTCTTCAGAATTTGCTCAGAGTCAATTTGAGTAAAATACATCTTGTATTCAAGCGCTTCCATATACAAAGTTTCGTTTGAATACGGCACAGAGTAGGAATATTTATTTAGAATTTTTCAGAATATCGGGTTTTTACTCGCACGCACGTTTATAGCTCGATCAATGCACGTGCAAATCATGCCGACCTACAGAATCGATTTCCGGTTTTTCCTAAACAGCGCGTTATTTTGATGTGCGTTCCCATGGGCCGCGCTAAAAATATAAATATTCTGTAAATACCGAAATAAAAGATGACAATCTCAAGACACAAGCTTGAAAATAACACTATAAATAGTGTTTTCGATTCTGGTTCCAATAATATCATTACGAAAAAGATATGTCCAAAGGGGCCGAAGTTATGTTCGGCAAAATGTATGGCTAGTACGTTTACATTGTTTGTTATATTATGAAATATGATACCATACTTGTATTAAAATTCGCGTCGAACTAATGTTATTGTATTAGGCAAATGAGTAGACTTGCCACAAGTCGACCTCGAACGAAATGCGTTTCTTCGAGGTCGACTTGTGGCAAGTCTAGCAAATGAGAACCATACAATAATGGTTCTAGTTCTTGTTGGTATTTTCAACGCACGCCATAGCCTGTGAGAATTTACGGCTGTACACAGGCTAAGCGGCCAGCGCTACGCTAATTCTCTTAATTCTAGTACTGCGCGGATTTTAATACATGTATTTAAAGGTATATTGTCGACATTTGACTAAAACTATCGTAAGTAATTCGGAGAGTTTGTCCTTGTTTATATTCCAATATATTGTATAAATTCGCTGGGTACAAATTTATGACATTTTGGGGTTTTCGAGTCGTTTAATTTAAGAAAGAAAAACATTAATTCAACAGGCAAGAAAGTCCAGAGTGCGATGCAAAAATTAACACAAGTACACAACGGATGTTATGAGTCCACGACGTATATTTATAGTTGTTTATTAAAAAGTCAAACTGTCAAACCTTTAACTTGTCCTTGTTTAAATATCCTTCTATATATTGTATAAATTCGCTGGGTCTAAATTTTCGAGTCGTTACACAAAGAAAAACACATTAATTCAACACGCAAGAAAGTCCAGAGTACGACACAACGTAAAATCCATAGGAAACTGGCACAATTCTTTGAAAATTCAACGAAACTGTGTAAAATATAGTTTGATCACTCTGTGAAAAGCCGCCATTGGAGTTCGGAATTGTGCGCGTGCGTACAAGTGTATGGGCTAATAAACGAAAAATGCACCACAAGCATGGCATGAGTCAGCTATTACGTACATAAATACGGACTTATTACTATATTATGTAAATCTTGGAACCGAGGGGATCGATGGCATTTTGGCTTAGTCGTTGCACCCTGAGCCTGCGATGAGCTAACGCAAACTCGATTTCTCGACTACGAAAAAAACAGGAAAACACAGGAAAAGACAGGAAAAGACAGAAAAAGAGGGATTTAAGACACTTGGCCTACAGGCCAGTGTAAATAGCTGGCTCGTTAGTGTACACGAGAAAAATTAATGGCCCAAGGTTTGACCCTTGGGGAACGCCGCAAGTAATGATAGCGGTATTTTAAATTTCTTGGTTAATTTCTTCCTGTAAGGTATGATGTGAACCACTGTAATGCCGTTCCTTGCACGCCGTAAAGCTCTAACGTGGAAATGAGTATTTTATGGATTAAAATATGTCAGAGGCTTTCTTAAGTCAAGATCTAAAAATAGTGGACCATTAATTAAGCCCTTGTCCACGTTTATAAGACATTGGTTTGAAGTATGCAGAAGTGAAAAAAGAAATTAATAATTAAAGTCCCACGAGTTTTAGATCTCGTCTTCGCTCTGTTAACCTGAACGGCAAATCACAGATTATCATGTCTCGTATACAACAACTGCTTCGTCAAGTTGACTAAGTTGCTCTTGTTAATCATAAACCTCATGTTTTAACCTCGACCTTTAAACTGTAATGTATAACTGTAATTTCAATGAATAATACACGACACGTTTTCTTTACAATCGTCGTCGTTGTGTTGCCGTCCTACATCATGCTTATCTCTGCCATGCGTGGCAGAGATAATACACTTTCAAATAGGGAATGAAAATCAGTGTATTAAGAAGTCTAAGACGTTGCATATGTAAATAATTAAGCGTAAATATAGGGATCCTTTTTATACATTTTGTACATCTCTAATGATGATTTCATCCAGACAAGAAGAACGAAACATTACCATCGCTGGAAAGAGCATCTTAAGATGAGTAAAATTGCAAAGTTTATAGTTGCGAATTGTTGTAAAATGAGGAAAATATAGCCCTGTGAGATTCGCAAATTTTGTATATATTTGCATTATGCGCGGGAAAAATAACCATTTTTGAGCCGAAAGTGGTTATTTTTACCGCGCGTAATACAAATATATACAAAATTTGCGAACTTCGCAGGGCTATATTTTCTTCATTTTACAACATTTAGCAACCAACCTTTGCAGTCTTACTCATTCTAAGACGCTCTTTCAAGCTGTGGTGTTGGATTTCGTCTATAGTTGGAATCACCCATTCACATACATACTGCTTTTCCCATCTCGTTAAGGTTAGGTTAATCCTTAAACATTTCTTCACTTTTTTTTTTTTTTTAGGGGCACCAAAATCAGAAAACTATTATTTAGGAATTATTGACGTATTAACTTATTATGGTACGAAAAAACGAACTGCGCATGCGGCGAAGACAGTCAAACACGGGGTAAGATGTTCTATTGAATATGATGAAACTCCGACAAATATTTTTAATTGAAAAATGAATATTTTTCGGAGTATCTATTTTGTATTGTACAATGCTGAAAATTATCCCGCAGCAGCGATAAATACCTTCTTGCAGGAAATTTCAGTGTCATTTTTACACATATTGGATATACAACTTGCTTGATATAGAACTAAATTCCGTCGAAATCGAAGTTTGCCCACCATGGCTATGCAGGAATTTGTACATTTCGTTAATTTTTGGATTTTGTTGCCGGGAAAAACATTTTTCTGCAGTTACCGCAAATACCATAGGAGCCAAAATGGTGAATGAAGTTAAGATATGTCAAGCTAAGAAAATTGTAAATGCTAAAATTAAACATTTAAAATTAAGAACAAAATAAAATTAATCTAAATAATTTAAACATTAAATATAAAACGTAACTCTTCTAAGCGTAGGGCATTCTCGTCCCCAGAGCCATTTTCACTCAGTCACTCGTTGAAAATTAGGCTCTGGGATAGACGACTAAAGGAAGAGATCTGATTGGCTTCTCAGAGAACTGCTATTTCGCAGAAGTTGAGCAGTTTTCGCTGGGCAAAATTATTCTATCAACATATGTCAACACAAATACTTCGTTTCTTCTTAATACTTCACTGTGAAAATTCTTACGGGTGCTAAAGTGTCCCAATTCAAGAGCATGCGCTTTGGAAACTACTGCAAGTTTTCTTGCACTTCCGGTTCCGTGTGTCCCAGGGCCTAGGGAGGACGCACGCGGCCGAGAGGCCCTGGGGACGAGCGTAGGGATATTAAGATAACAACACGTAGTTGCATGGACACATATAAGACTAGTCTCCATTTGGTAGTAATTGTCGTGAATCGTGACCAAGTAATGTCCGGAGATATATGTCTTTGTACACGGCAAAAAAACGCTCAGGTTGATGCAATACTGATGAAAACAGGATTGAACAATGTTTTGCTGCCCACATTGTTCATAGCTGTCAACAACATTGAACAATATTGTTACACCCGATTCATGCTCAACAGCATTGTTCAATATTGTTGACAAGTGTGAACAACGTGGGCAACAAAACATTGTTCAGTCCTGTTGAGCAACGGTCTCGGCGTTTTTTGCCGTGTAATCATCACACACAACACACGAAAGGCTGTAAGTACTTCATGTGAAGGCCCACAAACCGTTTGAACAAGTATATCAGCGGTTATAAGGTTAGCCTGCGAAAACAGCCGCCCGATTGTCTCGTCCCAGTAAGTAGAAGTACCAGCAATTCCACTAATCCTAGTTTTAACATCGTCTGACTGTACACCCTTTTCGATAATTACGTAATGATTTGATTCGTAAAGGCCCGTTTACACTTGCAAATTTTGCTGCGATTTTCGTCTTCTGATGGATGTGAATGAGTGAATGAGTTATGAATGTTCAGATGAGGGTACATATGCTCAGAACACTCATAACTCATGGCCATGCATGCGGGGCTTTCCACTTTTTTTGTCAATTCTCATGACCAAGAAAGACCGCACCAAATAGTAAATTCACTAGGAAATAAACTCCAGTGAAATAAACTCCATTGCAACAAACGCGGGCCAACTGTAACTATTTTCAAATTAGTTTGAACACATCGGCATATTTTCAAGTCATCATGTAGCTCAACCTCGTTCCCAGGCTCTTAACACTTATGGAGGAAAGATCCTGGTAGGAGCTGGTCATGTGATCTGATAAAATCTAGGAACGAAGTTGCATGCAGTTTTTCCAACTTATTGCAAATTATTGTGTTTCTTCTTCAGGTATATTCTTCGATGGATGTTTTAATGTCGCGAGGTCAATCACAAAACACGGTCCTTATTAAAATTTTTAAATTATCAATAAATTTTAAAGTCTTAAGTATAGTAACTAATTACTTTAAATTTTAAGTTGTTAAAATATTAAATAAATGAAAGAAGCAACGTTTAAAAAATGAAACGAATGCTAATGCACATGAACATGCTGTAAATTGATAAATAACTAAACTCAACCCTAACTAAACTTAACCCTAAACTTAACCCTAAAATAAAACTAAATTGCGAAATACAGTGATAAAATAGAGTTGATTCAATTTATAAATCGATGCAATATAGCACGTAAAACAAGTAAACCCAATAATATAGCATTACTATTAACTGGCCCGCACGACATAAAATGAAAATATGTAAATTTGCCCGCAAAATGCGGGCCCTCCGCCTGCTTTTCAACATCTGAGCTAAATTTACATATGTACATTTCTCTCCAATAAGACCCGGGGTGGGCTCCTGTGATTACATCACTTCACAAATCGAATCGATTATTTTGATGGCTTCATCCAATCACATGGCTTAGTATATTCGCCTCGTTCGCGGGCAACACTGTGGAAACGGCGCAATTATGCAATACTTGGTGTCATTACAGTTAACTAGCGTCAACAATTACTCTCATTGTTTTCTAATCATTTTTGTACTAATCCTGTCCATGTTCTCTTTCAGCATGGACAAGATATATCGACTGTGAAGCCTGAGGCGTATGCCAAGAGATTTTTAGAATTTATAGAAAAAGCCATCGAGTGACAACAGCAACGGTGAAAGATTGATCACTCGTTGAGCAGAATTTTGAAATGTAGCATAAGACTGTATCTAACTTAATTGTGCTGTTGAACGTTCTACGCATGCGTGACTCAAATGATACTTTTCAAAAAGTGCGAGAAAATATCCATGGCAATTGGAAGGAGGCGGAGGTACCCTCTTGCCTTTAACCAACAGGGACTTGTTTGATTTTAGAGATACATAATGTTAATAGTATAAGTAATTCCAAGGAAATACCAAATACCAACCTACAATCATTTTCAAAAGTTTGTTTGGCACTTGCGGTTTTAGAACATCGGTGGATATATGCAAATTATTATAAACATTTATATCTCCCTCCCCCTCGCCTTTCAATGTTGTTTACCCGATCACATAGGCCTACAAGTACGATGCTAACTGAGATCCAACATTGGATTGTCAAAATAATAGGTAGTTAGGGCGTCTGTCCCAACAGATTTGAAAATGATTGTAGTATGCAGGGTCTTAGCCAGAACCTGGAATTTGGGCGTCCAAATTTTGAGATTTGGCTTACATGGTGGTGAATCTTTTTTTGATTGTGTGATTCACATTCTTGTGTGAGCCAAATAATCTGTTTTATCAGGATTGCCTCGAATTTTGACTGTCAATGATTAATGAAATAAACATGACAAGGCATTAGATTGTAAAATATAAAGACGTATTGACATTGTATGAGTAGCGTTTCAAATATGCGATATCGGCCTTTCAAGTGGCCGTCCAAATTTTAAGGTTAAGACTGTGCTAGTATGAACAGGTTTGTGATTGGCTCCTAAAACAAAAGTGATCGGTATTTTTGACTTGTTCTTTAGAAATTTTATTCTATAGACTATACAGGTTGTCCCCCAAAAAAGTATACCTTTTGAAATTTTCTTATTGTAATAGTTTGAATGCCTGAGCATTATGCTGAACCTATGGAAGCGTAAAATACAGGATGTATTGAAAAGCAAGACCTTAATAAATAACTCTATTCTTGTTAAGGACAAGATTTTCTACTCCTGCAGGACCTGAGAATACTGCATCAAAATTGTCAATTGCTAATTAGTCATACCATTTGTTCAGCACATAATTTGTATGTTGGACGAAACCAAATTAAAGTTTTAAATAACTTCGTGATACGACTTTCAGAAGCTGAGCGAAACAACCTCTCTCTGTTGCAATAATTCCTCTGAAAATAACGTTCCTAAAAGGTATGGATGGGTGTTTTTTCATGTCGCTACGGAATGCTATCCGATACAAGGATAGGTTAAGTCTTTTGCATGTCATTCGTTCGATCACATTTGCCAGGAGAATCGCCGACAGAATTGCTAGTGTGAACCAGGCTTTATTGTCAAAATCATTAACCCATCACAAAACCTGTTTATATAGCAATATACGAATTCAATGAATGGTTGCTAGAAAAACTGTAGGTATCAGCTGGATATAAGGCAAGGTTTTCTTCCAAATTGTTTTAAGAAATGCATATATATCCTACTTAGTCTTCAAATCAGTATCGAGGTCAGTATAATATCAATGAAAAAGGGTGAATCTACCTCTGTCCCCGTTGCTCATCGGCGTCCCAGACAATATCTGCCGAAATATAGGGGATTGAGAGGGATTCAACTAGTGAGAAATATAAGTAAAATTCGGTAATCGTTCCATGTTTCGCGCACCAATATAGTAAACGTTATATAATGGATATTATAGTGTACTGAAAAGTTAACTGGATACCTCCATATGTAAGAGTTATAAACCGAGTAGGCTCCTACTCGGTTTATAACTCTTACTTATATCACACTTGCGGAGGTTTTCCTACATATTTTGTCATTTTCAAAAATTTTTAATGAAAAATTCTCGCGTTTTGTCTACAAGTTTAATCCAATCATTTATTCAAGGTCTATAAGCTAGTTATAAACCTCGGACGAACAAAGAAAACCGACGCAAGTGTGATATAAACATATATACACACTCTAACCTTAAACCTAACCCCTAACCCTAACTTCAGTATTGGTGCGCGAAACATGGAACGATAACCTAAAATTCGACGTTTCGAGCGAAGGCTCTTTGTCAGGAAGTCAGTGGGTAGACGAAGGGCCTTCGCTCGAAACGTCGAAGTTTTACTTGTATTTTTCAGGCAGTTGAATCCCTCTCAATCCGCAACTATCTGGTGATATTAGAGAGTTTGAGAACGACAACCGGCAACGGGGAAAATATAATTGCTTATATTGTTGTATTTGAGCCAAAGTATACGTTACTACACTTTATTTGCCTCTAAGTATTCCAGTTTCTCTCAAACAGCCCTCAAGTAAAAATAGTCCGCGAATTCAAATAAAACACCTCAAATAACATCGAACGAAATAACTGTTGCCGTAGGTGTAGTCATGCACCGTGAAAATGATGCAAATCACGTACTAGTTTCAACAACTACGGCATTACACGACGCTTAAGTCAGACCATGTAATTTACATTCGCCTTTGTCTTTGAGGATTAATGCATTGTTGATGACCATATTGCCGCTGCCGTTATTGTCACTACCTACGCTGGCCCAGACCCCCTCCCCCGGGTACGAGGTTGAAGGTAGTTCAACTCTACATCATACGAAGTCATGTGGTTATATAAATTATATTTAAATTATTTAGAATCGTTTAATGTACGTGTAACAAGGATTATGCAGTACGAATCGATTCTCATGCAAGAAAAGTCCTAATTTATGGTAAATTATCTGCAATTGTCAGATTTTGGCCAGAATCAACGTTTCGCCCAAAGATTCACCACCATGTAAGCCAAATCTCAAAATTTGGACGCCCAAATTCCAGGTTCTGACTAAGACCCTGCATACTACAATCATTTTCAAATCTGTTGGGACAGACGCCCTAACTACCTATTATTTTGACAAATTTCCACTCGCTCAATCCAATGTTGGATCTCAGCATCTTACTTGTATGTGATTGGGTAAACAACATTGAATGGCGAGGGGGAGGGAGATATGTTTATAATAATTTCTTTAATTTTGAGGCGTTCCACGAATGAGAAGTTTGTAATACATAACTATTATCTGCAGTAAGCTCCCGTGTGCTGGTTTTTGTCTGAACCTTAAAATAGAGGTGGGCCTATTAATTTTACCGAAACGCAGGAAGTGAGAAATGTGGTATTAACATGGACCCGTACCATTAACCAATCAGATGTGTTTGATATATCCTATTAACCAATCAGATGCGTTTGATATATCCTATTAACCAATCAGATGCGTGCTAAGTCAGTGGGAGTCAAATCGAGACGAGAGCGGTCTGATGAGGGAAGGGCCTCAGGATTCACACGGTAATAAAATCCTGGGGCCCGGTTGTGTGCTAACTCTTGTATTTCTGCACCATATCTGTTTATTTCAAATTTGCAGCGCACTCCAAACTTTCTAAGAATTGTCGAAAACTATTTCTTTTATCAAAACAATTACTTTCGACTGATAAAAACGTGTTTTGAAAATTAATGTTTTGCAAAGGGGGCCGTTTTCCACTTCAATCGTAACGTATTGTAGCATTTTCTTTTGTATCGAAGTCATTAGTTCCACACTAATGCTCAGGAAACAAAGTCAAAGAAATATGCTTCGGTACGATATGGCTGAAGTGGTAAACAGCCTACAAGGTAAAAACAATGGGGATTAACCACATCAATTTTAAACTTCAGAGAAGAATTCCTACTGATGCAGACATTTCTGAAGAAATATTTCCAAATTTATAAACAAGTTGTTGGGAAGTTTGCTTCGAATTTTAGGTTAACCTGGATGTTGGTTCATGGGTGCTAGTACAGGTAGTGAAAAAAACAGTTTGCGGGCTGGTGTGTAATGTGTATCATACAACTGCCTGAACAATATAAACTAGTATCATGGAACGAGAAAACACGTGCACGTGCCGTCACAGGAGACCAGCGGCCGGTTGTATAAAAAAGTGATTAAAGTTAATCATGGTTAAGTGCAAACGTCATCCAATAAGAAGTGCCTATTTGAGAGTTAATCACTATTTAACTACAAAATAGTGATTAAAAAAGTGATTAAGAGTTTTATACAACCGGCCCCAGGGCTCTATTTGGCCCCGCCTGCCCTGTGGCTGTGGTGCCGTCCCACGCGCAACGAACACCTGAACTGAAGTTCAATACAGTTCAACTTTCATTCACACGAGCACCAAAATACAGGAACTAAACCACATTACATACAGAAACATAAGATACCTTACAGTAACACCTAGAGCAAATAACGAACAGTTTCGATTTTCCCGCGGCATGGACTGGCCGTTTGGACACCTCGCGAAATAGTGGGAAATATTGGGGTGCGGGGCTGGTGGAGCGAATGTGGATTACCTCCTTTCGTTGCTGGAAATCTTGATTCTTCAAACGTTTTTTGCTTTAAATGTCATGCAATATATACCTTCACTATACCAGCCTACCATGCTTTTATGCCCGCCACTGCATTAGAATTGTTGTCAGTTTTGGCCATGCTTTGATATGTAAACCCGGCTTGTGGCTCGAAAGCTTCGCCAAATAAATATACATGATGTTTCCACCAAACAAAAAAATTGTACTTGCTTCATCATGCAAAGATACAAGGACCTCATTACCGCACTAGAATTCCCAGAGCTACACATTGGCCGTTTTTATACTAGAGACGCATTATGCGTCTGGACCATAGATATCTTATATATCTATGGTCTGGACGCATAATCCGTCTTCTACATTATTCGTCTAGTATAAAAACGGGACGAATAATACTAGACGAATAATGTAGAAGACGGATTATGCGTCCAGACGCATAATGTGTCTCTAGTATAAAAACGGCCAATGCGACGAACTATCAACATCTATTGTTCGTCTGGTTATGCGTCCTCAGTATAAAGACGGGCACAAGACGCATTATGCGACAAGACGCATTATGCGTCTAGACGAACTATCATCGGTTGTGCGTCTCTTAAGACGAAGAATCGAACATAGTTCGTCTAGACGCATAATGCGTCTTGTGCCCGTCTTTATACTAAGGACGCATAACCGGACGAACAACAAATGCTTGCCCAAGTTCGTCCAGACGCATAATGCGTCTCTGGTATAAAAACGGCCATTCTTCACTTGCTCGTAATGGGGATAACAGAAGATTACTTATGTTCAAAACAATAATACAACCAACAGTGAATATTTAATGAATATAATTTGTTCATTACGGATGTACAGTATGGGTTACTCTTACATCATCCATCATTACTTGACCTGTACAAATGGACCAGCCACATGTAAGCGTGTGTAAATGATTGTATGAAGATCCTTTGTGAGCTAGAATGATATCTGAATGTCTTTAAAAACCTCTGTTCTCTGTAAGCATAGCGTACTACATCAGGAAAGTGTAGTTCCACCCTATGCAATAAAGGACAATCAAGGTAGCCTGAGCAGTCAGTGCACAGGCAAAGAGCAAGGTTGTTTTGACAACCAACGCCCTCCCCCGTAAGACTGTACTTTGTGAGGATTAAGAGATTTTACGACATTTAATAGACACTATTCCCGCTCATTAAGGACTTAACCCTTTATACAGATTTAGTTAAAATTTAACCATACAGAAATGTCTAGATACAAATCACTAACAGAAACCAACCAAAATAAAATACCTGTAGCTCACTGTCTCAGTACAGACATTTGTGTGAGTACTGCATACCAGATGCATATAAGGATATTGTTAAACATATGATCAATAATAAAAATCGTATATATATATATATATATACACACACACAATCTATATAATTGATAAAGACACTTTTCAAAAAGATGGCAACCAAAGACACTGAAGTGGACAGTAAAACAGAATTGTTCAATTAGCCCATTAAGTTGCATTGCACCCTAATGTGCCCCTACTTTATTATTTATTCAGTCTAATGCCAGACTCTCTTACTCTGTCTAACACCAGATGATTTTACTCACCAAAGGGAAAGCACCAGCGCTCAATGGATTAAACATACACACCATTAACCCCAAAGTGGCAAGCACTTCCCATGACAAGTAAAATCATCTGGTGTTAGACAGAATAAAATACTGTAATCTGGAATTAGAGTAAAATAAAAAGATAGGGTACCACAGGGCACATTGGGTACCCTCCTGATAAAAATGAATGGTCTCTAAAGGGTTAATATTCACTGACACTGGATTGGCCTGTTATTATTTGGATTGAAAATTGTAGTGCTCCAATTCTTAGTTTTTTCCTTGTCGTATTTTGTTAATAAATGAATAAAATATTTCAATGTCATTCTTTCATCTAAATTCTGGCAACAGTCAAGACCACTGTTTGCCTTGCTTTCAACTCATTAAGCTGCAATGGGTTAAAATGGGTTAATGGATGGTGGAGTAATTATTTCCCGATTTTATAACTCCCTTACTTGGCCACCCTCTGTTTAGGTACCATCTTTATGAAAGACATTTTCTGTTGTGCATGTCTGCTATATTGCTCTTCCAAGGAACCACACAATGTACATATTTGACATTATTTTGCACATAACACTTCAGGATAGTCCAGCTACCCATTTTAGTAACGTGCCTACCGCAATATTGCAGAATGTCAGATGTTAATTAAAATACTAGATAATATATGTAGATGAGATTGTGATTAATACGATAAGCAGATTGGTGACTATTTACAGGTTCTATAATATTTTCACAGGTTCAATAATATTCTACAGTCTCAATCAGCATGCTGTTTCTTTGCTGGTGCATACTCAAGCAGTGCCAATTGTCGTCCAATCTTGCCCACTGTAATACCACCAGAAAAGAATAAACATGGAACCCATAACTGGTTAACCAATGCCATTTTCTCACTGAAAAATAAACTAAAAACAAACACATTACTTTTAAGTTTTAAATGCCAAATGCCTCAATAGAACCATAGGCAGCCCAGCAAAATGTGTAAAAATGCATTAAACGCTTAAAAATACGTATAAAGTTTGTCTCAATTTGCTATCAAGCGATTTATTTGTGTAGCTCATTATACATGCAGATTCCGATGTTTACGTACGTAAAGATCGGAATCTGCATGTATAATGAGCAACACAAATAAATCGCTTGATAGCAAATTGAGACGAACTTTATACGTATTTTTAAGTGTTTAATGCATTTTTACACATTTTGCTGGGCTGCCTATAATAGAACAATAGGAAAGGCAGCAAAATTGTTGTTAACAAGTTGACAAACTGATTGTTGACAAGGATTTCAGTACGGTAGTGGGAAAAGAGAGGTCTGCATAATCTTTAACATCCAAGAGTAACTGACAAGTTTAACTGTCTGGTATTAATAGAGTAGCCCAGTGTCAGCTTGACTGAATGGTCCAATGAAAATAAAAACAACTTTAAAACTACAGTATTGTAGCAACGATATGGTTTTAATAATTTGATGAAATGACTGAATTGGCAACAAATTTCTGATCATCCGAATACAACTAATATTATAGGCTCATTGTGATTAGTAGCCAGATGGTATTAGTACAGTATATAGGGAATAGGATGGTTTCAAGTGCAATTTGGGTAAAACATGAACAAATGAGTTTTTCAAAGAGCATCAAAATAGCACAAGTCCAAAGGATGAGACGAGAGGTCTTTGAAAAACTCACGAGTGCATGTTTTATCCAAATTTCACAAGAAACCATTCTATTACATATTAATAATACACAGTACACAAAAATGTTCAAGACAATTGTATTTTTTTAAGTGGCAATGCACCGATGCACCCTACTTTAGCATTTTACTCTGTCTAATGCCAGATGACTTTACTTGTCAAGTGGAGAGTGCTGCCACTCAATGGGTTAACCAAACAAAGTGCCCATTGCATTCTCTTAACCCTTTAAGTGGCAATGCACCCCGATGCACCCTACTTTAGTATTTTACTCTGTCTAAAGCCAGACGATTTTACTCGTCAAGTGGAGAGTGCTGCCACTCAATGGGTTAACTTACATAATATAGCAAACTGTCCACTGACAAAGTTTTCCTGCTTTGTTATATCATATCGCACACAATGCTAACACTTGTAAATTTCACTCAACTATGTAAGTTTTGTTAGTCTTGTCTGAGGTAAAGTCTTTCAAAAAAAGCTAGATGCCATATTTTCTATCTAACTTTCACTTATGTAGCACAGTCGCCATGTTTGTTTTTATTAATTGTTTTGAAGCAATCTGTGAACGTTAGTTGACAACTGCTTTAAGCTGACTGGTTGATGTTAGATCTCATTGTTTTTCCCACCAATCAGATCTGTTACTGTTTGTTATAGATTTTTGCACTACTGTTATAGATTTTGCACTGTTCGAGATTAACTGCACTGAAATTAACCAATCACAGTCGAGAAACATTTTTATGGATATTATTAGCATAAAAACCTTTTGAAATAAAATATAAAAATAATGAATTTGCATTTTGCTAATTCCTACCTGTACACACTGTGCGAGCCCAGAAACCATACACTGGTTGTTGCAAAAATTGCTACAAAAAGTGCAAGTCCAAAGCCATTTTTTGATCGATCAAAGTACCACCACAATAAAATTGAGAATGCAGCAACAGTGATAAACAGGTGGATATCACTTTCAAATCGTAATTTCTGTTGAAACTGTCAAGGAACAATAATCTTTAATTAAAGTGCCTATGACATAAAATTTCACCCCAAATGTTTATGATTGCATTGTAAAGATCACTTAAAATGACTTAATAATTATTAATTTCTTTTATAGAATTTTGGTAATTTGTTCCTTTGCAAGATATTCAACTTTGTTTCATATGCAAATATCACCGGTGTGACATCACATTGCATGACATTTTGAAAATGCAATATTTTACCTTGATAAAATATTTTTACAAAACAAAGGGTTAATTACCAGTAATGAAATTAATACATATACAAGGGTAATTTTTAAGTTTTTTAGATACATATTCGTCAAGAAAACTATACTTTTCTGAAAACTCATTATGTGATGTGATGTCACACCGGTGATATTTGCATTTATAATATAGCATTTGTAAATTCTGAACGCTGATTGGCTAAGAGCCGTGTTGATATAACTCCATGTCAACACGGGAAATTTTCCGCCGCTTGTAACACGGAAATTGTTCTTATTCTTCGGGCTTTTAACATTGCTATATTATAAAACAAATATAAAACATTTTTTCCGTATTGATATATAGTTATATCAACACTCGTGGAAGTTGGGAAAACTCGAAATTGTGTGAAAACACTCCGCCCTTCGGGCGTCGTGTTTCCACACAATTTCTCGTTTTCCCAATTTCCACTCGTGTTGATATAACTGTATATCAACACGGAAAATGTTTTATATTTGTTAAATGAAACACAGTTCAATATCTTAAAAAGGCAGCAAGTTACCAAAATTCTATAAAAGTCATTTTAAGTGATCTTTACAATGCAACCATAAACCTTTGGGGTGAAATTTCATGTGATAGGCACTTTAACCACCAAGTGTACACCCTAGCTATTGGCAACACTTAAAAATTTGTCAAATTTTCACTTTGATCACTCATATAACCTTTCCCAAAGGGACATGCATGACTTTTCAGGGGAGGTGCAAAAATCTCAGGGGAGGTGGAAAACAATATCAGGGAAGCACCGCACCTCCCCTCAAAATCCAGCCATGGGGAGCATGCTGCCGACCTTCCTAGATTGCTCGCACCTCTGGCACTCAAAATATTTAGCATGATATAGTCGCCACTGCTGTCATAAAAAATACTAATTGCTATTTTGTGCAACGTTTAGTGCTAAAATAATTAAATATAAAATCAAGGCTAATTATTAAAATATTAAAAAAATGTCTTGAATATAGTATAAAAGGACCTTGAATAACTGGGTTATAGAAATAGAAAATATCAAATAATTTATTAATTTCAAAGGATACGACAACAGCATGGATTATTCCGATAAAGACAGCACTACAACGTACAACACTAGACCATTCAGTTCTGAGATGATGTGGCTCGCCTAAACGTGAGTCCATACATGGGTAGATCAATCCGATTAAAGATGATGCGAGTCCACATGAAGGCGCAAACCACCACATCGTTGCATAAAGTCTCTCCAAAAGATCTCTTTCGTACACAACTTTGCGCCGTAACTCAGGTAAAATTAACATAACATTCAAAACGCAAGAGATTGATATGCCTACGATGAACAAGCACAATGCACGAATGCAAAAATTTAAAGTTGTTGGACGACAAACGCGATCTAACACCAAAGGAAACGAATTTGCCATTTTATAGTAACTTCTCTCAGTACTTGGTAATTTGCCCTCATCTAATATCTATTAACCGTGCTAAACCTCTTTTCTTATTTTCAACTAAAAACAACTTCGCATACAAACATGTCCGACATTTTACGGTGAGAAACATACGATCACAGAGTAGATACTGGATATCCTCTGTGATACGATGTTACGCTTCGTGCTCAACCAATCAAAATGCTCATATGGTCGTGTGATACTATCTAGCCAATCAGAAGCCAACGACTGACATCGGGTGATCCATCTTGTGGCATCAGCAGGGCTCTCACTTTTGGGGAAATTTCCCCAAAACGGGGAAATTGGCGGATTTTTGGGGAGCGATCTGGGGAATCGCATTTTTTGGGGAAATTTTTGGGGAATTTTTTGAAATATTGGTCAAGCTAGATGGAAGTACATGGAACTTATGTTTCAATTGTTTTTGCCTGGTTTTGTGCACATTTGGTTCAACTTGTGTTGAAAATGATAAGTGACAAACATTCAGCTGATTCATGACTATCATGAATACACAATATAATTTGATTTGCGAGTACTGTACGCCACGTGCTAATAAACAGGTTATTCACTGACACATGTTTTGAGCTATATAATATATATTTTAATGCCAACGAAACCTTGCAGTCATTTCACTAATCACTCTAGTATCAAAATAGCAGTGCCAAGGTTCAAAATGAATTATTTACTCTACATTACGCAATGATAACAATATCAATTTAGAATCCTTAAAAAATTAAGTGATGGATGAACTGTGAAGGAATGTAACTTTACTCTTTAGTTAACTTTGCTGTTATTGACTAATACTATACGTATAGGCTAGCAGCAGTACTGTCATAAAACGTGAGATTGAAACCGCTCATGTTTAAAACATTAAACACATCATTATTCTTAATATTTTTTGTATAAATTATTAATTTTTGAAGTGTATTTTCCACGTGAATTACGTATTGTTAAGGAAATACTTCATGTTACTATGTTATGTTTGTCTAGGGAATTTTACGGAAATCTGAGGAAATTTTGAGAATTTTTTAGGCAAATCTAAGGAATTCTTAAATTTGATTGTGAGAGCCCTGGGCATCAGGCCATATGCTATGAATAATCAATGGTAATGAATATTCCCGGGAAGGAACAATCACTGCACACTGTTATTAAACGTTTAATATATCACATGTAAAATTGCTTTCATAAAATTAAATTCACTTTTTTAAAACACAGAACATCAGTTATTCGTCGAAGTGAAAGTGATTACTAGTGAGCTGCAGGCGAAGCTTGTAATCACTTTTGAGTTTTGGAGTTCTTTCTAAGTGCCTCTATCGATTGGAGAGCGGTAGTGTAATAACACCTAAAAGGTCTCCTCTGACACCATAGGTGGGTACGGAATATCCAGCTAGGACCATCACTCCAGTGGCGTAACCAGGGTTAACCGTAACCTGCTATAGTCAAAGTTCATTCTTTTTTCAAGGGAAGACCGGAAGATTACAACTTTTATTGGCAAATTACAGAAGATATGAGAATCATTATTAACACATCGTACGTACTCATTTCTGCCCGGATTTCAGCTTTTCACAAGGGCAGTCCTTTTGCCCATTGGGGGGCAGAGACCCCCTCTTGGCTACACCACTGCATCAATTTATGCCCGCCCGTGCGCATGCAGGATTCAGAAGCTGACGACTACCAGTAGCATCCTCCACCAGTCCTCGTTTCCCTATCACTACAGGACTTTGAAAATAGGCAAGGTGGTGTTGATGTGCTGATGTCTTGGTTTTCTGACCAACCTGCACGATGTATACTATATTGTAGTGGCCTCACTGGTTTGCATTGGGTTTGAGTGCAGAGCCAGTCCCACTCTCGCTCATCAAAACTATCAAACATATGCTGCATGGTCGGTGCAACAGGTGTAACGAGGATTTGTACGGAGTACTTTCTCTTAGATGAGCTACTAAAGAGCTAGAAGGCCTCGTCTACCCTAGGAGCTCATCCGCCCTTTGCCAGGTCACTTTCTTTAATAATGGTGCTTGCTTAGGTCTACTAATGTTTATTTTTCTTAATCTTGTACATATTTTCTAACTACGAGTCGCTCAATACTAAGTCAAAATCGATATTCCATTCATATGGAATATTTTATACCCAGCATTTGACTGAGATGCCACATTCTGCAAGGTGAGATCTCGCCTAGCCGGGCTGACTCGTCCCTCATCTGAACTGTGTTCAGACTGAACACACAATGATTTTTGTACGCATGACATGACATGCGCATCTCCCTCAGGTGAGTTTCCCGGCATGGCCAGATATTCTTTCTATTCCGGCATGGCCAGATATTCTTCCCGGCATGGCCAGATATTAGTGAGTTTAAGCAAGTGACGTTTTTGACAACACGAACGGCATGAGTAACGTCAGAAGACTGGGTCAAGGGCTGTGATTGGTGAAAAACGTCAACTTTACTTCCGGTCGACGTCCGTGTTGTCAAAAACGTCACTTGCTTAAGCTCACTATTCTTTCTATTCCGGCATGGCAAGATATTCTTCCCGGCATGGCCAGATATTCTTTCTATTCCGGCATGGCCAGATATTCTTCCCGGCATGGCCAGATATTCTTCCCGGCATGGCCAGATATGATCTTCCCGGCATGGCCAGATATTCTTTCCGGCATGGCCAGATATTCTTCCCGGCATGGCCAGATATTCGTCTGAGTGATAATTATTCATCTCAGTGTCAATATTTAATATAAACTGTAGTCATACAGTCATAATTCATAAATACATTATTTGATGATCGTGACTAAAACACCACACGAGTACATACGAGTAACATACGAGTAACACACAAGTACATACGAGTACATACGAGTAACATACGAATACATACGAGTAACATACAAGTACATACGAGTAACACACGAGTAACATACGAGTAAATACGAGTAAATACGTGTACATACGATACGAGTAAAATACGAGTAAAATACGAGAATTAGCACGCTTTCTTTAAAGTTTCTTTCACTTTCACACTTTCACTTTGGCTTCGTATTATGTTCATGTTGTAAATGCCTTATTGACATAGGCGTACGAGACAGGGGGCCGGGGGGGGGGGCAACTGCCCCCCAAAATTTTGGAAAACCATGGAAATTCGGGCAAACGCAAGGAAAAATCAAGAAAATTCGGGCAGATTTATGAGAAAATATGTTAAAATCAGGTTATTTCTTTAAAATTCTCCATAAAAATTCGGGCAAACTTTCAACTCTCCCCCCCAGAAAACATCAGCCCCGTTCTCCTATGTGTTTTGCAAATTTAATACGTCAATTGTACACCTGTTAATACGTTTTCAACAGGGAAGTATAAAATACTTAGGGTTCATTATTTATCGGTTGGGTGGGCGGGGGCTGGTAAAATAATGGGGGATATATTTTATGGGCGTAAAATAAAGAGTGGTTTAAATCTTTTGAAGAAGTGTTTTGGGGAGACAATAAAATTTTATAGCATTGATATAAAGAAGATAGTATAGAGATAGTGGCGTAGCCAGGGCAAAAGGCGTGCGCCATTTTAGGGGAGGTCTGGGGGCATACTCCCCAGAATATTTTGAAATCTAGGGTCCCTGAAATGCAATTTCCTGCATTTTCGGGGTGCGAGTTTGCATAAGTCCGAAAACTGTATAATGCATAAAAGACATGATTTTTCGTGATGGAAAATGATGGGTTAAAATAATGCGAATTACTTTTAAAACCGAAAGATGATTGAAAGTAAATATATTTTACATTTAAAACCCCAAAGTAAACCTTTCTTCTTGGGGCCATATCTACTTACTTAGACAAGATTATACACAATTATATTGTGGATTTGGATTTTATTTCACCCCCTCCCCCCCTGTTCGCTAAATCCTGTCCAGCATCCCCAAGTTGAAGGTCCTCTCTACCCCCCTGGTTGTAAAGAGCACACAAAAGAATAGGATGGGAAGAACTACCATACGGCCATACTATGTTCTTCTTAACTTTATTGTTGGAGGGGGTGAAAAATTTTCAGACTGTTCTAAAGGGGATTACATTTTTAAACACATTAAACGGGAGGGTCATTTTTATTATGTTGTTTGAATTTTAGAATCCAACAGCTCCTTCCCCCCTCCCCAACCGATAAATAACAAGACGCCTGCTCAGGCGTTCACACTGGCCTGAAAATAACGAGATACGTGCTATGGTGCAAAAGGCAGGAATACAAATCTTAAACCGCAAGCAAATTTTATGGACTTTTTAAAAAAATAAAAGACCTTTTCGGGAGACGTAATGGAGATCGATGCACGTTCAAATCATGCCGACCTGCAGAATCGATTTCCGGTTTTTCCTAACAGCGCGTTGTTTGCATATGCGTTTCATGGGCCGCGCTAAAAATATAAATATTCTGTAAATACCGAAATAAAAGATGAAAATCTCAAGACACAAGCTTGAAAATAACACTATAAATAGTGTTTTCGATTCTGGTTCCAATAACATTATCACGAAAAACATGATATGTCCAAAGGGGCCGAAGTTATGTTCGGCAAAATGTATGGCTAGTTTACATTGTTAGTTGTATTATGAAATATGATACCATACTTGTATTAAAATTCGCGTCGAACTAATGTTATTGTAAATTAGTAGACTTGCCACAAGTCGACCTCGAACGAAATTGACGAAATGCGTTTCTTCGAGGTCGACTTGTGGCAAGTCTAGCAAATGAGAACCATACAAATGATACAATAATAGTTCTAGTTCTTGTTGGTATTTTGAACGCACGCTTTATCTTTAGTATAGCTACCACAAAGCTTTTCGCGCGGATTATATTTCGTGGAGTACTAAATATTATATTTTGTGGTTTTCGAGTCATTACACAAAGAAAGACACATCAATTCAACACGCAAGAAAGTCCAGAGTACGACACAACGTAAAATACATAGGAAACCGGCACAATTCTTTGAAAATTCAACGAAACTGTGTAAAATATAGTTTGATCACTCTGTGAAAAGCCGCCATTGCAGTTCGGAATTGTGCGCGTGCGTATACAAGTGTATAGGCTAATAAACGAAAAATGTACCACAAGCATGGCATGAGTCGGCTATTACGTACATATATACGAGCTTATTACTATGCTATATAAATCATGGAACCGAGGGAATCGATGGCATTTTGGCTTAATCGTTTCACCCTGAGCCTGCGATGAGCTAACGCAAACTCGATTTCTCGACTACGAAAAAAACAGAAAAAGGGGGATTTAAGACACTTGGCCTTACAGGCCAGTGTAATGAACCCTAAGTACTTTATATTTCCCGGTGTACAATTGACGTATTAAATTTGCAAAACACATAGACTACAGACGTATATATAAACAACATGGCAAACATGCACTTTCATGCACTACAAAACAGGGCTCGACCGGGGCCCCGGCCCCGGCCCCGGCCAAAATTGGCACCCCCGGCCCCGGCCAAATTTCTGAAAATTTGGCCGGGGATTTCAAGCTCAAATTCGTCAAATTCTTTCTATTATTGTCTTATAATTGTCAAGATTCAGGGAACTTTAGCAAAACTAAAAACTAGTAAAAACGTAGTAAAAACGTAGTAAAAACTAAGTAAAAGTTAAAACAGTTTAAAAAATCGACAAAATTATATCGAAAGCAACAAACAGAAAAGATACGTACCATTTATTAGTGATGGGCGATACTATCGAAAAAGTATCGAAATCATCGATACTTACAAAAGTATCGATACTTTCGATACTCGCAAAAAGTATCGGTAATTCGATACCACTTGAGCCTGCGACCAATCACTTAATGCTTCATGAAGGTAACAGACTGAAGGCCCCTGAAGGCAAAAAATGTTGACATGATGCTGTTCTTAAACAAAAACATGTAGCTAATTAGCAATATATTTGAGGAAAACATTGTTGTTTTGATTTAAAATCATAATTGCAAATGTTATGTTCGATTATTTGGCAGGTACTCCAGTTAGAGTATTCTTTGACTTGTTTTAAACATTAATGTTCGTGTTTTAAAAGTTATTTTAATAAATGGAAAAAATTGAGTATCGGTATCGATTTTGGTATCGGTATCGACCAAAATTCATGGTATCGGACTGGTATCGTATCGAAACCAAAAAAGCTGGTCATCGTATCGAAACCAAAAATCGCCCATCACTACCATTTATTCTTTTAAAATGTTTCCAATATGGCTGACGATAGCAATAAACCGCTGTCCAGTAAATTCCACTGGCCTTTCCAAATCCCGCTTAAATAACATCGCTCAACATCACATAATATCAATGTTCGACCAGTCCCCGGCCAAAATCATGCATCCCCGGCCCCGGCCAAAATCATGCCCCCGGTCGACCACTGCTACAAAAACTCTCTGACAGCCTGTGAGCAATATACTACATTAGAACATAGTCTTAGAACATACAAATCTTTATTCTATATTAATGAATTACTTTTTCTACGTCGTGCGAGGCTTCGAAATCCATCAATACGCATAGGAGAACGGGGCTGATGTTTTCTGGGGGAGGGGGCAGTTGAAAGTTTGCCTGAATTTTTATGGAGAATTGTAAAGAAATAACCTGATTTTAACATATTTTCTCATAAATCTGCCCGAATTTTCTTGATTTTTCCTAGCGTTTGCCCGAATTTCCATGGTTTTCCAAAATTTTGGGGGGGCAGTTGCCCCCCCCCCCCACCCCCTGTCTTGTACGCCTATGTCAATAAGGCATTTACAACATGTACATAATACGAAGCCAAAGTGAAAGTGTGAAAGTGAAGGAAACTTTAAAGAAAGCGTGCTAATTCTCGTATTTTACTCGTATGTACTCGTATTTTACTCGTATGTACTCATATGTACTCGTATGTACTCGTATTTACTCGTATGTTACTCGTGTGTACTCGTATGTTACTCGTGTGTACTTGTATGTTGCTCGTGTGTTACTCGTATGTACTCGTATGTACTCGTATGTACTCGTATGTTACTCGTATGTACTTGTGTGTTACTCGTATGTTACTCGTATGTACTCGTGTGGTGTTTTAGTCACGATCTTATTTGATAGGTTGTAATAGATAATTACATTAATACATTACATGTATACAGTGTAATTAAATCCTAACATCCCTGGGATGGTAGGGCCCAGACAACTGCACCTCCCCTAAAATTGTTCCATCTCCCCCCAGCATGCAACAAAATCCAACCTTGTAAATTATATAGCTGGGTCCAACAGAGATCATTCTGCAGTATTCAACGTTTGTATGGATTACTATAAAAACCCAATAATTCATGAGGAGTATAATTCAATAATTCATGTAAGAACGCAAATGACTTCATAGATGATTTTAATGTAAATGCTAATGCAGCAGAAATTTTTTAGATACTTTTATAATGGACTATTTATATGGATAATTTTCTTTTTTAACTATACAATTGACATATAAACCTACTTCATAATTCATGAGGAAAAGACAAAGGAAATCACTGCCGTGTCGATGTTTTTTTATGTGATAAAAATCATGTTAATTTACATAAACTTTAGCTTTGATTTCCTCGGCTTAGACAATGTTTACTTTTAACATTACTTCGCCAATTAACTCATCAGATGGGTCTTTTTTTAAGTGCGCACTCGTGTTTTATATCTGATAAAGCACTCCTGCTTGTGTTTTAAATAGACAAAATAGTACATAAAACGTTATTTTAATTATATAATTCAAACTGTTTGCTAATAAAGTTTGGACTACCTATTTGTATTCTCTGAAAATTATCTTTCTGCTATTATTCCCAAGTCAATTTATGCACATCGTATAAATCCTCCATAATAGTCAATGAGGATATGATCTGGACACTTGACCAAAGTCTATGGGTTCATGTGTACACAAACTTGTGTGCAGTTACCCTCTTCCGCAGGCATCTGTTTTGGGGTCACCCCTGATTTAACTCGGACACAGTCACACCTGTGGCTCAACCCCTAAAGATGCCTGCGGAGTGGGCTAGTGCCATAGATATCTTATATACACTAGATAGCGCATCTCATTTAGTAAAATTGAAGCCAAGAATATTCCAGCGGTTACCCCCATTTGAATAGATGGCGGCCATGTTGGTCGTTCCCACTTGCTAATAAACGCTTATAAACAACACTAACTTTCATTATTTGAATAGTTTAAAAACGTATTTGGAATAGGGTTAACTTAATGTTTAAGTTCCCTGTTTAAGAAATAGAAAACGTACGAATCTTCTCATTTCATGGGAACGACCTGAGACTGCAATCACGGCTTCAATTTTTGAATGCAGAATAATTAGATGCACTATCTAGTGTATATAAGATATCTATGGCTAGTGCACATGCACTGAAGATTCTGAATTGGCATAACAAAACAATCATCAGTGTAGGGGTGCACCGGAACTGGGTTCCGGCCGGTTAGTTCCGGCCGGAACCCCGATTTTTTAGAGTTCCGGTTCTGGCCGGAACTAATAAAAAAAGCATGGCCGGAACCGGAACTCTGTCGTTTTCAGAGAGATAGAATATCAAACGTTTTTGTGTCTAACAAAAGGTCACAGTAGCAAGAAATTTGGACTACGCAAGGGAAATGTACACTATTAACATTTCATTATGATGTTTAACGTTTGTCAGTCTTTATATTCTAACATTTGCGAGCTCTCTCCTAGATGACTTGAAGTGTCTGCCTGTCTGGTTGCAGACAAAGTAACATATGACTATATATGGCTTAATAAATTAGTTCCGGTTCCGGCCGGAACTTTTTTCCAGTTCCGGTCGGATCCGGTTCCGGCCGGAACTTAAAAAACTGGTTCCGGTGCACCCCTACATCAGTGGCGGACACTAGAGGGGACCAACCCACCTCCCCCCCCCCCCAAGTTATTTATGAAAGATTTTCAATACTAGCTGATTAATTAACTTTGCAACAAAGCTGTAATAATGATTTTACATCCATGGAAGCCTTGATAGGTTATTATTCGGAAGCCGGTTATTAACCGTGCTGTTAAAATATGGCTTTATAACGCCGCGAAACGGGTTTACAACTCTGAAGGAGTGGAGAGCCTCAGACTTTGTTTATCGACACGAGCTCGTTTCGCTACTCTCATACAAAATCAACTCAAAATATACAAGAATTACTGTTACTGGACGAATATTCTCAGGAAATTTGAAGAAATGAAGCAGCTACATTGTGGACAAAAGCGTACAGAGGTTAGTTTTAAAATACCTTGACGCTACTTTTATAAAAATATGAATCAGTAAAATAACATTATATTGAGTCGTTAATTCGGATTAAAAAATATTTGATTGTCACTTGTCTTCCTACTTTAAAACATATAAAACTTCTCGACAAGTCAAGGGAATGTTCTTGACAAAGTTGACATTTAAAACTGTTGTAATTTTAAAATCAATAAAATTCAAACGATTTGTGCATGGTGAAGTACGACGTTTCAAAGAAAAATCATAACTCATTATAGTCTCATTGAGGTTCGCCAAAATTAATGCCAAATTTCCAAACCTTACATGAATTGACTATATGCACCTATCTTGGTAACATTTCGTCCATATCAGCCACGACATAAGCAACAACAGCCCAGAGAGCGGCACAGAGATCTAAATCATCTGGATTCTCAACTGTGATTGTATCACCATTACTGTGGTGAAAGTAAAAATACTCTGCATTGTCGTTTGACAGACTTCCACCCGGCACACCATTCTTAATCCAGAAACTAATGTCGCCCCCATCTGCCGTGTGGTATAGAGTTGAAGCATTGATTGGCTTAAGAAGTTGCATGATTTTTTCCACGATGGCAAAAGCTTCATCATTCCCCGTGAACTTCAGTCCATTTGGTTTAAATGTTCCAATATCACTTTCCATGACCATGTCATATTTAGATATATTTACTTTATGTGTGTTATAATACTGTCGTGATCCAGTCAAGCCCACCTCCTCACCAGTCCACAGAACAGCGCGGACAGTTCTCTTGGCACGCAGCTTAAGTTGTCGCATTATTGACAATACTTGCCAAGATATGAAAGCACCACCACCATCATCCATTGCGCCTTGACCAACATCCCAGCTATCAAGATGACCACTTACTAATACCACCTAAAAAACAACCAGACAGCAAATTAAACATTTCAACAACTTTCTGCTACACGGCCTATAGTTCCATTTTTCGTAGCTGCTCCAAGCTGCTCCTAGTTGGGTCTAAAAGTATACGTTTACATTCGAGTATGATTTTCCAATGTTTTTGGTGTAACCGTAATTCGTCATCAAAACGCCATGGGCCTTAGCCAGTGCGCGTTTGAGAGGCATTCACCCCTCTAAAAATATTCAAAATGGCGGACGTCCAGGGGGGTATGCCTCATATAAGCGCACTGGTTAGGCCCATGGCGTCAACATTTTTTGATGATGAATCATGGCGTGGTAGCGGTTACTCGAGTCGACCTTCTGTGTGTCTTTATTCTGTGATACCAGTGGGCTCCATATATATCTGGAGCGAGAACTCGAGTCCAAAAAGTGAAGTGCGTTATAACCGCGCAGGTAAAACAAGAACTGGAACTGACGTCCAATAGCTCCTTCAATTTCCACCATCTTGGCAAGGAGTGTGCCGAAAATTCGTATTTTGACATCGATTTAAAGAATAGCACTATGGTTTTATGAACTGATAACTTGGTTAGCGATACGGTCCGTTAGAAAAAACTGAAATTAGCTTGGAAAAAATGTTTACGACCTTCAGAGCTATTGGACGTCAATAGCCGCCATCTTGAATTCACTTTTCTCATAGGTCGAATGACTGAAGTTCTTGCTCTAGATAAATATAGAGCTCACCGTGCAATATTGATTTGCAAATTGCTCGTAGGAAATTGTAATAAAGGCGTGCGTCATTTATGCACTGACTTGCGAGACTTTCGGAAAGAGTCAAAAGACACGAGCCGCAGGCGAGTGGGCTCGTGTGCATGTTTTTTACGCTTCCAAAAGTTGAGCAACATAACGCTATCCTGCATGGAAAACCATTTGGTAATTGTTTTATAGACTAATTACAGTGAAACAACGCTTAACTTTATTTAAACGTTCTTTAAACGGTTACTTTATTATAACTTTTTGTAACGTTTTTGTTAATTTGTCTTTCGTTTAAGATACTGTTAACTTAACATGTTAAAATGTTTTCATTGTCCGACATTTAAAAACGCGCGTGCGATTAATCATCTCACCATAAAAATTGATAACATTCAATATTTTTCCAATGAAAACTTTATATATTTTATACAAGTTGTTTGGCAACGAAAACTTTCGAATATATTTTTGAAATATTGTAGCAAAAGCGGTTGCAATTTGCTCCGACCATTTTGCAAATCAATACTGCAACATTGCGTCGCAATATAACACCCGGTTTGACTGTAAAGTATTCTTCCCAAAATCGTGGACAGATTTGACCAGCATGAAGGTGCATGAGAGCGTACAGGAAAGACCGCGCGGTTATGAGGTTGTGGCTCATGAAATGATGGAGCTTAATTACCATAGTTCATCGTGTTTTGCTGCTTGCAACTCCTTTGCGAGCGAAGAAGACCTATTTAACAATTAGTCGCCGAAGGCGAGGTGATTACAAGCCTATATATTCACTGAGCCGAAGTGAATATAGGCTTGTAATCACCGAGCCTAAGGCGACTAATTGTTTTAGTATAAATTTCCAGGTGTTTACAAACAATAATCCACACAACTTTATAAAAATTCACTTAAAAAAAAATTATTTTCACTATAAATAGTTTGTTTACAAAATTTAAATCTCAGACACGGCTCTGTGTCGCGTTGCGACTAAGCCAGTTTTTTTTCCAAATAAAAGCACGTAAAGTTTAATATTTTACCTTGAAATATTTTTAAACCATATTTTGTAGCTTGTTTGGGGTTTTTTCGGAATGCTATCTTCTTTAATTTTGGCTATTTCCTCTTCTGTTACTACGGCAAAACGAGCAGCCATTTTGAAAAAAAAGCTACAGTCACTGACCAGTGACTATCACTTCAGAGATAGTGAATCTTGACCAATCACAATGCAGAAAAATCAATAGTCACCTGGAAATTTATACTAAATGCTAATAGTGTCATATACCTGTTCTGGATTTGTCGTGCCAACAATTTCCGCAACGGTGTTTCTAGACGTAGCACGTGGTAAGTTCTGTGCTTCCATATATAAATGAATAACTATCCTATCACCTCTGGCTGCCATGCGTGACAACATTTCAGCATCTTCAATAGTTATGCAGGCAGTTGGAACCTTCACTGTACCATTTTTGTAATCTTGCCATCCAGTGTGTGGACTGTTGATTGAGAATGGAGCAATGGATCTGATAAGAGAAGCTACACCTCCAACTTTGCTTGCTTCATAAGCACCATAATCTCGATACGCAACTGTAACCCCATAGCTTACATACGCTTGGTCAAAAACTACGATCTTGCCTTTTGCCTGGAAATATTCAAAATCCATACACATGATTGCTGCATTTTCGAATCTGCAAAGCTGTAATTTACAGAAGGGATAGCAGGAGCCTGGGGTTGCTTAGCGGACAAAGGACATAAAGTGGGGCACACTGTTGACCAAGACAGGGTCCCATATAGGCTCGATTACCAGCCGTTGCCTCAAGTCGGACCCTTCAGGGGAGCTTCCCCGAATGCCGGCTGGTATAATCCAACTTAGGTCCTATATCATCACTGATGGAAATACGGCAGCGTTCTTAGATACTTAGCTTGTCAGATTTTAAAAACATTCTCAGAGAGTCCTCAAAGGCCGAAAATAATTTTTAGGACTTGGTAAAGCCGAAGAAAAATATTCGCCAGAAAAAGCTTGCCATCGTAATGCAATAGCTAGAAAGCTTATATACAATTTTCTATTTTCATTGCAAAGCAAGTCTTTCGCAACTCGTCTGTTCTGTTCAGGGTTCTGTTAGTTGCCTGTGCCGATCAGAAAAGTCTAGTAGTAGAACATTTTCATTAAGGGAAAGGAATTTTTATCACTATACCTTGCCGCGATGGTCAGTACATGGTTAAGAAGTTACATATAATCCCACCGGTCCTACTAATTACTGCCCGAGACTGCCCGAGACTGCCCGGGGACTGCCCGAGACTGCCCGGGTAAACATAACGTTATTTATTATATGGTAAGGCAGTGTGCTCTTGTTTTAAATCACTAAGTACATGTATAAAAAGGTTTTTTTCAAAACATTTGGCTGCACGCTAGGACAAATGGCAAAATTTGCACGGTGCTCGTTTGCAAAAACAACTGCAAACTGCTCTAATTCTTTCTGTTTCTTTGCATTTGCATTTGATCTCATTTGTGAGTCGGCCTCAACGGTCTTTAACTTTTCTCAAAAAAATCATATGCGAGCTAGGTTATATGCATAATATGCCCGACATATCAAATAATGTAATTGGCATTTATTTGGAAGAGACAATTAGCAAAATCGAGCGTATCTAAAAGTTGTTTCATTAATTAGCAAAACACGCAAACATGTTTAAATAACTGTACGGTTCATAGCCAACCAGAGTTTAGAATTTACAAATCATATTTTACAATAATGTTTATTATAATAAAGCCGGTTACAGACGAGCAACTTGTCTATGACAAGTTTTTATACGGCAAATTCTATTTGTCAAGTGCACTTGTATAGGTGCAAAATAATTTCTATGACAAGTTTTTGGTTTACTGACCGCCACGATAGCTATTGTTGACCATTACAACATTTGCCCCTTTTCTTATTAAATTATTGTGCTGGTATACCAGAGTAGTCGCAAAACACGCACCAAGATTAAATGTTCGATCTATTCCAAGAACACTGGGATTGCGAGCACTGGATGTACAAAACTGGCGTATGTCTTTTAAATTATCTTCCAGATAAAGTACAACACATGGTGGCTTACCTTTCGTCTGTATTATTTCTTGTATAAACGGATGTTTGTGAATGTCAGATAATAGCGTCTGTACTTCGTCTGCCTGGTTGTTTCTGTAAATATGTCCGTTGTCAATTCTCTTTATCCTTCCTAAAGTGTACTTAGCATTTTGTACTTGCTTTAAATCCCTAGGTGCGCAATCGGAACTATTAAGTACCATATCTTCATAAACTTCGCGAGGAGTGTTTTTAGCTTCGATCATGTCATCTAACTTTCGTTTTACAGCGCAAGATGTGCGGACATAATCACCAGTAATGTTCTTACTGTTCCCATGAGGTATATTGTTTTGTGGAAAGTCACCGATATACTCTGCGACAGCAATGTTCTTGATGTGCAACAATTCCTCTGGACATTCTGTCACTGTGGAAATGCGTTTCTTAAATGACGGGTTGCGTTTGAGAGAAATATAATAACGTTTAAACACAATAATATTAGCACTGTCTGGTTGAGGTTCAATAGGCACTCTTTTACCTTTATTGTATTTGACATACTGCCCGTCTTTCTTGTCGACATAGTCCAGGTTGTTTTCTTCTACAATGTAGTGGTGGGTTTTACAAGATGCCTTGCTTGACCAGGTTCCACAATCATCAGCATAAAATGCTCTTCCACCACGCGCTTGTCGAGATGCATTCTCTTCGTTGTTGAGGACGAACAAAACATTCTCCTTTATACCTCGTGGTACTTCTTTTCCAGATGGACGCTCGGAGAGCATCAAGCGAAAAACATCTTCCGGGTTTTTAAACTTTCCGTTCGGGATTGGGATGGCTCCGTTGATAAGCCCACGTTTATGGTCCGAAGATGATTGTGTCAGTTGTGATGAAGGACCAATGGAGGAGGATTTATTGGAGGATAAGGAGTTGTTGCGTTTCTGGGTGTTGGAGGATAGGGAAATATTGTGTTTCTGGCTGAGGTTTGGGGGTAAGGAGTCGTTGGATTTCTGGCTGAGGTTTGAGAATGAGGATTTGTTGCGTTTCTGGCTGAGGTTTGGGGATAAGGAGCCGTTGGGTTTCTGGTCGAGGTTTGGGGATAAGGAATCGTTGGATTTCTGGCTGTTTGAGAATGACGATTTGTTGAATTTCTGGCTGAGGTTTGGAGATAGGGAGTTGTTGGGTTTCTCACTGTTGGAGGATAGGGACTCGTTGGATTTCTGGCTGTTTGAGAATAAAGATGAGAATTTGTTGAATTTCTGGCTGAGGTTTGGAAATAAGGGGTTGTTGGGTTTCTCACTGTTGGAGGATAGGGAATCGTTGGATTTCTGGCTGTTTGAGAATGAGGATTTGTTGAATTTCTGGCTGAGGTTTGGTGATAAGGAGTTGTTGGGTTTCTGGCTGAGGTTTGGGGATAGGGAATCGTTGGATTTCTGGCTGTTTGAGAATGAAGATTTGTTGAATTTCTGGCTGAGGTTTGGTGATAAGGAGTTGTTGGGTTTCTGGCTGAGGTTTGGGGATAGGGAATCGTTGGATTTCTGGCTGTTTGAGAATGAAGATTTGTTGAATTTCTGGCTGAGGTTTGGTGATAAGGAGTTGTTGGGTTTCTCACTGTTGGAGGATAGGGAATTGTTGGATTTCTGGCTGTTTGAGAATAAAGATGAGGAGTTGTCGAATTTCTGGCTGAGGTTTGGGGATAGGGAGTTGTTGGGTTTCTGCCTGAGGTTTGAGAATAAGGAGTTGTTGGGTTTCTGGCTGCTGGAGGATAGGGAATTATTCGGTTTCGGACTGAGGTTGGGAGATAAGGAGTTGTTGGGTTTCTGGCTGAGGTTACGGTGTTTATCCGGGCAGTCAGTCTCGGGCAGTCCCCGGGCAGTTCCCGGGCAGTCTCGGGCAGTAATTAGTAGGACCCTAATCCCACTATTGTTGAAATATATCTATATATACTTACTTCGGCAGCTCTTGCATGCAGTTCATCAAATGAATGTACCACTAATACTTCGGCAGTAATTCCTTCAGCTGATGTCCCAATGCTGCCACCAAGTCCTAACATTGACATTTCATAATGACGAGGTTTTAACAATGTTGCTGATTCCTTTCCCCTCACCCAATGAGCGATATTTGACACTTGTTCCGCATGAACGTTTTCCAATCCATCTGCCTTAAACTGGTCCAGCATGTAATCTATGACATTCTCCAGTGTTTCTGAGCCGACCAATCTGTTTCCAAATTTATCTGTCATCGCTGCGAGACGGTTAAAAGTTTGATGTTTTCCCTCACCTTTGGTCACAAAATTGATGATTTTCTGCGATACATTTTCGTAGGCTTTTATCTGAGAGTCAATATCGGTGTTATGTGAGGTCAGTTTACTTGCAGGTATCGACAATGTTGTTTCTAATATTGCCATCAGGAGCAGGACGGCATTCCTCCCAAACATCTTGTGGAACACAAAATTAAATTTATTTAGAACACAGTCATATCACATGTGAACAATCATACACATATATAAATATGTGCGATATTTTAATTTTTGCAGATATTGCGCAGAACTTCCTGCAGGCTATGTAATAGTGTGCTGACAGTGAACTCAGTTGAAATTCTAAAATGCACTTGATAAGTATAAACTTGTCAATTGTTGAAAGATCAAATCAGTTAACCACTGCCTCCTTGTTAATTAAACTTGACAAGCTTAAGTCTTTCAATGAAGCAAAATATACACAAGGGTGCCTGTATTCTTTACATGTTCCTTAAAAGCAAGTCATTTAGAAATGATTCATTGATTCCACTAGACATTTCATATTAAAATTTATGTTAACTATGCAGTAACCTTCAGAACGACACTCAGGTATCTGACAGAGGAACGACTAAAAGGAAATTATAGAAGGGAGAGTGAAATCAGGAAGTTAAGATTCATATATTTTGAAGAGTTAAGTTCTAACCACGCCCAATTTCTCAACTAACATGGGCGAAAAATTATGAGAGATTTAACAGTCCTTGCTTGTTTCAAGTCGTGTAGACTTGCAAAATCAAAATATTTATGCTTTTAGTCTTACTGTAGATGGGATACAAAATCATAATTGTACAGGTACTAGTTGCTAACAAGCTACTTTTTACTCTAGTACTCCATAAAACATAGCGGAAATTGTGAAAGTCCTTAAATAAATCGCTACGTTTTTCAAAACATGATCAGTTTGTCAAAAAAATTCAGTCAAAAAATGAGTTTGTCAGAAAAAATGAGTTAGATGGGCTGCAGAGAATAGAGAGGACGACTGAGGAAGTGGTGGATGGATTGTGTGTGGCATGACGATAGAGTGGTGGATCTTGATAAAGTTGATGTCATAATAGAGTGGGGAAAGATGTAGAGGCGACTCGACCCCCCTTGCGGGGACAAACAGGATGATGATGAATGTTAACTTTAAAATAATATTTAACAATTATTGGATGAAGTTTTTGTGATATGCGGAATTATCAAGATCGAGGTAAGCGTTATCAACCGAGCCGAAGGCGAGGCTGATAACGCTTACCGAGACCTTGATAATTTTGCGTATGGCAAAAACTGAATTCAATAATTGTTTTATTATACATTTGTTTGTGTTACAGTCAAAATACAAGAACCTTCCCGCTTCTGTAACTTGTTTTGTTTTTATTTGTTCTATTTTCTGTAGCAATTACCGCTTTATCGGCATATATCGCGTCAGGATCCGGTAGAATTTCGCTTTCCTTCCTTTATATACGTCAATTTGTAGCAATGGATATACCTTTCGTTAGATTCTTTGCATAAAAGTTGCGAAACTTAGATCTTATAGCGATATTTGTTGATAAATCGGTCTACATGCCTTACTAAAAGGCGAAACGTCGAAACGAAACGACCGAAACGAAACAGCCGAAACCATCGAAACGACCGAAACGAAACGACCGAAACGGCCGAAAATATAAATTATAGGGAAAATATTAAAATATGAAATTTACGGGAAATTTTATTGGAATTTTAAGACAATTGGGCTGTGGAAGCACTGTTTTATAGATTTTGGCGCCAAAAATTGGCGCCATTCTCACTTCTCAGTGGCGCCATCAGGGACGCCGGAACGATGTGAAGGCAAGGAGGGCAGATTTTCGTGAAAGGGCACTTTTGAATTGATATACTGTATACTAAGAGATGTTTGCAAAACATCGCGGGAGTTGAACACTTGTTTAACTATGGGCATACCGGGCGGGGGCCGCAGCCCCCCCAGTTTGTTGGGCAAACAAAGCCAGTCCGGCAATTTTCGCTCCACAGTTGGGCAATATTGGCTTATTATAAAAATAAATGGGACAAATTCTGTCAATTTTGTGGTCAATTTTGTGATGTCTGGAAAATATTGAATGATGTTCCGAAAAATTTTTGGACCCTTAAAATGGTACACTGACCGAAATTTTTTGGCGACGTGGGGAGGGGGATCTGGGGGAGGTCGCCAAAAATTATTTGTTCCGGGAAAATTTGTTTTGGCACTAGTTGGGCACAATCAGGCAAATTTCTTTCCGCCCCCCTAATTTTTTCCTTCCGATACGCCCATGTGTTTAACCCTTCTTTCAGGTTATCTCAGGCCAGGTTTAGACTTCAAACTTTTCAGGTGCCGAACCTAATCGGCTAATGTTAATGAGCTAAGTTCTTTGTTTCACTTCATTTGCATTACGGTTCGGCGCATGAAAAGTTCGACATCTAAACCTGGCCTTAGACAACCTGAAACAAGGGTTAAACAAGTGTTCATGGCTTCATGCACGATATAAAAAGCATGTGAACATAACTTGTGCCTGTTGTATTTGCACTTCAGTATGCCAAATTCTTGTCTGTATGCATACTAGTTTTATATATGGATAGATATTTACCAGTTAAAACTTTAAATGCGTACCTGTTCCTCGAGAACCCTCGTCTCCATATTTGCTTTCATCAGTAGAATTGTCTATGGTGTAGAACAATGGTGCCCAGGGACGCCGGAACTGGGGGGGGGGGGGGAGTCTTGAAATTTCCTGTAAATTTCATATTTTAATATTTCCCATTTTCCTGTAATTTATATTTTTATTTCGGTCGTTTCGTTTCAGTCGTTTCAACGTTTCGCCTTTTAGTACATGCCGTTATCTTGTTATCGTCCTGGAATTCAACAATTTGTTAACAAGTGTGACTTGTGAGTGACAACCTTGTAGCAACGTTACTTGATAAAATAACAGCATTATTACAACTTATTGACAAGCTTGCTACAAGTCTGCACCGAACACATTTGTTGACAAGTTGTGAGATTTTAACGTGTGCATGATTAGATCATAATCATATCGTCCGAGAGGAGTTTGCATTTTATTACAACACAAGTATGAAATTGCGTAAATATTTTATTCATTGACGTTGATAATTTTTATGATACACTATAAAACACACTAGGAGGCTAGGACGTAGGGTCATTCCATTTATTATCCGCACCCCCCCTATGGATGAGCTCTGGTAAAAATGTTACCTGTAGGAATCGGATTTCAGAGAAGTACCCTGTTGGAATCGACAGTATCAATCTAAACCCTAGGAATGCTGCTAATTGCCAATATCTCACTGGTAGGAATCTGCTAATTGCCAATATCTCACCGGTAGGAATCTGCTAATTCCCAATGTCAGACCGGGGGGGGGTGTGAGAATAATAAATGAAATTATTATGATTCTCATAATAAATATTTGGCAATATAGTATGCTACACCTTGACGGCAATATCTGACCGGTAGGAATCGGGCCAAAGGAATCTGTTAATTCCCAATATCTGACCAGTAGGAATCCCCTAAGTCCTAATATCTGACCGGTAGGAATCCGCTCATCCATAGGGGGGGTGCGGATAATAAATGGAATGACCCGTACTGCATGCATGTTGTCATATTTGCATCCTGTTATACTTGTGAGATATAAAATTGACAAACAGTACAAATATATAGATACAAACCTCAGATTTAATGCTTATCGTACTAAGCGTCTGTTACTATTCTATGACTGTAGTAGGTCATATATTAAAATACGTCTTCTATAGTTCCACTGCACTTGCGATATAAAATAAGATCGCGAAAATATTCTATTCTTCTGTGGCGGACGGAAGAATGAATGACACGCAGTCACGAAATATATTAGCATAATTATCACTATCTAAGCATAATTATGCAATTCTTGGGTTTCAATCACGTGATTTTAGCATAATTTGACCCAGGTGCAGTCAGCGAACTCTAATAATAGTGAGTTTAAGCAAGTGACGTTTTTGACAACACGGACGTCGACCGGAGGTAAAGTTGACGTTTTTCACCAATCACAGTCCTTGACCCAGTCTTCTGACGTTGCTCATGCCGTCAGTGTTGTCAAAAACGTCACTTGCTTAAGCTCACTATTAACTGGAAGGCTAACTTCTCCAGAGGTAGACTTGCTCCAAGTCTCTCTTTGTGGAGACCCACTATATTGTACGTTACATGACGTACCGCTGAGGGGGAGAGGAGGAAAGAGAAGAGAGACTTGTAACATCTGGCAAGCAGACATACTTCCGGCTGGTCAATTTCGACCAGCCGGAAGTAGATGGCCGCATTGACTTATCACGTGTTTAGGGGGGGAAGGCGACATTTCAGAGTTATTTGTTTAGCACGAGTAATTTTGTATTATCGAGATTTCTTGTAGATTTCACATCACTTTTGACTGCGTGCATTTGGAATTTTGGGCGTTATTTTTGCAATTTATTGTAAACAACGATTATAAGAAGAACGGATAAATTACAAATCAGCCGTAATCGTCATAAACCTCGATGACCACCAGTGTTTTTGTGTTTGACAATTTGTATTTCATTAGATATTTATATGCAAGGTCAGTATAAACGGGTTATCATATAAAACGATCATTCTAATGAATTGATAAAACGAATTATATCTAATATGTACGGCCGCGTTTTTTACACGGCCACTACTGAAGCGTTTGGCTTGATTGTTGAATAAATCGATGACTTGCTTAGTTGCTTTCTGTTTTGAGCTTAACCACCGTTTAAGCTAAACGGGCTTGATCAACTGGCCCCAGACTCGGCCCCAGATAAACATTTTTGTATTATCGAGATCGAAACTATAGTAAATTGGAAACCGTGTCAATAATACAAAACGTACAATGAACTTATGAACATGCGGAAAATTGTCACGCCCAAAATTTATACAAATTTTTAACTATTTTCCACATGTTCATAAGTTCATAAGTTCATTGTACGTTTTGTATTATTGACACGGTTTCCAATTTACTATAGTTTCGATCTCGATAATACAAAAATGTTTATCTGGGGCCGAGTCTGTGGCCAGTTGTATCAAGCCCGTTTAGCTTAAACGGTGGTTAAGCTCAAAACAGAAAGCAACTAAGCAAGTCATCGATTTATTCAACAATCAAGCTAAACGCTTCAGTAGTGGCCGTGTAAAAAACGCGGCCGTACATATTAGATATAATTCGTTTTATCAATTCATTAGAATGATCGTTTTATATGATAACCCGTTTATACTGACCTTGCATATAAATATCTAATGAAATATAAATTGTCAAACACAAAAACCTGGTGGTCATCGAGGTTTATGACGATTAATACGGCTGATTTGTAATTTATCCGTTCTTCTTATAATCGTTGTTTACAATAAATTGCAAAAATAATGCCCAAAATTCCAAATGCACGCAGTCAAAAGTGATGTGAAATCTACAAGAAATCTCGTGAATACAAAATTACTCGTGCTAAACAAATAACTCTGAAATGTCGCCTTCCCCCCCTAAACACGTGATAAGTCAATGCTGCCATCTACTTCCGGCTGGTCGAAATTGACCAGCCGGAAGTATGTCTGCTGCCAGATGTTACAAGTCTCTCTTCTCTTTCCTCCTCTCCCCCTCAGCGGTACGTCATGTAACGTACAATATAGTGGGTCTCCACAAAGAGAGACTTGGAGCAAGTCTATTGGCAATTCGAGTCGCCATTTTGATTTTTCAAGCGATTAGCCGCTGCCTACAAACGCGGGCGCAAAATGTCCCATATTTCTGGTAATGCGATATATGTTTGTTTCCCCTTACGCCTTTTTTCGCGTGTTCTACTCTCTGTATCAGTTATGTAGTGGATATGTGTTAGTTATACACATGCGCAGAATTGACGATTTTCAGTATCGAACATCATGAAAACCATGAAGAAAACCATGCAGAAAACAGGCAAAGATAGAAAAACCCAGAGAGGGGAAATAAGCAAGCGAAGAGGCAACAACTTGAAAACCGGATGAGTATAGATAAGAATTGCGATGTCCAGGCCAATACACCCTTCCAGAAAGTGATTAACCTTGGCTATTAGACAAAGGAAATTTTCGTGCCTGCATGACCAACTTTTATGAATCCAAAATGGATATAATCCGAAAAGCATTTTACTGATATATATTCAGCAATCTTGCGAAGCATCTGCATGCATGAGAAGTTGGGACATGAGATCGGTGAATAAATTTGTCCTTAATATTTTCATGCAAGCTTGTGGGGAGTACAGACATCCTGTCTGTAGGAATTGAAGTTTTTTGCCGTTCTCTTTCTCATGAACAAAGACATTTGAAAACAAAATACTTTTATTTATAGAAAAATAATTATTAGGCTTGTTATTACGCGTAACTCAGGAGCCAGGAAACTTTAGTTTATGGCTGTCAGTTCTAAACGGCTCTGGAGATTAAATTAAGATAGTCACTGTCACGCGCCATGCTATCACGGATTTTGTGGGTTTTTTCAATAATTGTATTTTAGATTTCTTTTTAAGTACTATTTAAAACACGAGTAGGAGTGTTTTATCAGATATAAAACGCGAAGCGCAGGCGAGCGTTTTATGCCTAATAAAACACGACAACGAGTGTTTTGAATAGCTTAACTGAAATACGACTATACAAAATAATTAAGAATACTAATTAGGATGAACAATTATATAAAGAATATACTAATGAAGATGACTTCATCAGATATAAAGTCACTCCCTTGAATCACTCCACGTGACATATTATGGCTGACATGATTTGCCACAAGATTTATGAGTTATTAAGGTTACAGAACACCTTTGAGTGTTAATTTTGCCTAAATATTTTTTACTGGTTTCCATGAAAGCATTATAGACTGTCTGGTTCTAGTATCTGACCAAGTTTGAACGAAAAATGTTGAAAACTCGCAGAGTTATTTAATAAAATACATTTCGCTGTAATAAGAAAAACATTGAAAATGTAATATTCAAATTCAATTTTCTCCCGAAGAATTTTACGGCAATTACTGATTTTCAAACGAGTTGTTCTCCTGCGGGTGTAATAAATTTTTCTCAAATTTTCACAGGACATAGCTAGACGTCAGACGTAAGTTTCAAAATAGTGTTCGGCTTTTTTCTAATTTTGGATATTTTAATAATAAGGAGCAATTCACTCCAACGCTTCAGAAATATATTGCAGTCGTCAAAGAAATTGCCATATCAGCGGAATAACGAAATAAACAAAAAATTTCCGAACACGATTTTTTAGAACAAAATAACTATTTTACTGTCTAAAAATTCTATTTTTATAAATATATCTTAAACCAGCAGGAACATAACTCAAAAGCGTAAAGGTACCGCGATTTACGAGTTCCTGAATAATTCTTATATTATTTTATTGTTTGTCAATTTTACAACTTTGCCAGTTTGCATGCACTGGAGAACCTTTGGTGAAAATTTGATGAAAGTCGGACTGATATTGAGCGCGCGCAGTAGCGATTTTCCGCAAAACGCCCAAAAGGTATCCGGTAACCTTAATGAGTATTTTAATGATAATTATTTGGTTATATTGATACCATTGTAAATATTTATAATAAACCACAATAAGATCCTTGACCTGGTGGATTTGCGCGGGATGTTTTCACTCAGTACCAGACGCAAACAAGTCAATTATATATATATTTCCGGCAGGCAATTAAACAAGGAACTACTAATTATAGTACCTACATAAATGTGGCATTCACGAAATCGAATGTTCACAAAATTGAATGCCCATGAAATTAAAGTGTTATCTGTTGTCACCATATATACTTACCCGTGTGGATGGTTAAGTACAGACGTATATTCTCGCTCGTATTTATTTCACGCGATTTACGTAATTTATAATGATACGGCGGCACAAAGAACCTCTGGAACCAGGGTAATTCAGGACCTGACCACGAAACGTCGCGCCTTATGTCACACGACTAGTGTTTGGCGAAAATTAAAAACCGAAAACACTCAAGCAGTTGTCATGAAGAAAAACGAATTTGGATGCTTCTCTTTAGTGCTAGGTTAATATCCATTTGACTGAGTTAATAGGCAACTTGCATGTTAGACTAATTTTTGATTTAGGCATAAAAGGAAATTCCCGTAAAGAACTTGTTAAAATCAGTAAAATTGCAAAATTTGGTTACGAAATGTTGTAAAATACAGAAAATATAGCCTTATACGAAGTTTGCGTATTTTCAGTATGTTTGCATTACGTGCGGAAATTGTTACCATTTTTGAGCCGAAAATGGTAACAATTTCGGCACGTAATACAAATATACTGAAAATATGCAAACTTCGCAAGGCTAATTTTCTGTATTTTACAACATTTTGCAACCAAATTTTGTAATTTTACTAATTTCATTATGTTCTTTTTAACTGTTGTGTTTGATTCGCTTCTCTTTACTTAGATTAAAATTTAGTCCAACATGCAAGTTGATGACCTGTGTCTGTGAGGCTGCTTGGTACTCTCTGTATCCAATACCTTGAAAGCATATCAGTCGTGCCCTGCAGACTGCGCGTGCAGGCAGTTCCTATAATATTAACCTCGGTTACTTTTCTTTTCTGGCGTATATGAGACTATGAGAGTTCCTTGAAAGTTCCTGACGCATGCAACCAAACACACTCGACCTCCAAAGAGAACAGTTTAATTAAAACTGATAGTTTCAATTTCGTTGAATCATATACAGTTATAGATAATGTGCTACGGTCAAGGACTCAAGGACGTGGCTACAAAACAGCCAAACTATACGTATTATAGACCCCCCACTTGCGAAGACTAGTAATAGTATACTTTCCAAAAGCGTCTAATTATTCGTCTTATATCACAATGCAAGTATGGCTATAGTAATGAAACACTAATTTATTCATCAAACATTATTTTCAAACACACTTTATGGGCGTATGAATTGCCACTGGTACAATATCATGAATTTTAATTTATAACTCGCATTATCTTCGGGCGGTCGCGAGTTAAGCCGAGTTATCTCCTCAGAGTAGGCTGATTTTTTAGCATCTATGTCGATATGGAACAGAACTGTTGAAAGGCTTTTGCTGATTTTTGAGCGAAATTTGTATAGGTTATTTTGAGGCAACGAGGAGATATGTGATTTATTCACCGAGGCGCGCAGCGCCGAGGTGAATAAACACATATCCCCGAGGTGCCTCAAAATAACGTACTTATTTTTCACACTGCGAGGTCGCGTTAATGAGTCAGAAAAGAAATAATTCTCAATGCCATATTGCTTTTGGGATGTTGTTTTTTCTCATTTTTTGTGCTGCAAAGACATTGCAGGTGAATATTAGAGGGGATTATTAATTGCAGGTGAATATTAGAGGGGATTATTAAACGGAAATTGAATAGAGTGGAATATTGAATATATTCCCCGATAAGAACAAAGGAAACCGAGCAGGGTGAAAAATAAGTACGTTATTTTGAGGCACCTCGGGGATATGTGTTTATTCACCTCGGCGCTGCGCGCCTCGGTGAATAAATCACATATCCCCTCGTTGCCTCAAAATAACCTATACATATTTTAGACTTTGCCGTGAGCAGCACGCGAATAAGGCCACAATAGTTGCCTAGGTCTGGAATGCAGGAATGCTCTAATCACCTCATGCCAAATTATTGTTTGGGTCAACTGTGTATACCAGTTGTGTTTATCGTTTTAATGTCCAGTCAAAATAACATGATTATATATAATAACACCGGAACACAAATTTAAAGGGTTTACTAATTAATTAATATCACAAACATCCCCTTTTGTAACATCCCCTGGTTAAGTAGATTTCCTCTCTCACTATAAAAGAGCTTTCTATCTAACTTTAGCACATGATGGCAAGTTAAATTGAAGCAAAAAGACGTTTGTAGAAAAGGTATGATTTTTTGTTCAATAGAAATTGTTTCAATGTAAATTTTAAGAAGTTGTAAAAGGTACCAAATGAATTGTTTATTAATATACATTGTATACATATTAAAATAAGTGTGGCATACAATACTTGTTTTACTTTCGTATCATCAAGATACTAATAACCGTCAAACGGGGATGAGAGTTGATGAGAATTAGCAGGTACAGCGGATTGTTACAGGGACATTCCAATCTCCACGTTAACAAAATGCTTGATTTTAAAGATTTATGTTCCAACTGTCTATGTTTTAACTGAAATAGAATAAAGTCTGGTTTAGCGATTTTGTGTTTATGATGGATGCAAATGAGTGAACTTGCACACAAAAGCGGGCATTAAAATACGGAATTTTTACAAGGACACACTTTGCCTTCAGAGGCGTATTTTTGGTATAAATGCATCCGCAGACTCACGAGAACGAGTGGCGAATTAGCCACAAGTTTAGCGCCGAAGACGCGAGCTTTTAAGGGGGTCTCTGAAATGGCATTTCCAGAGTTCTGACTGAACAGAATTTGCAAAATCTTTGGCCATTTTGCGTGGATTACATTAATATATTTTCAGTTTAGTATATTTTCAAGTACACACTTTTCAATTTCACAAGGGCACATTCGCCTTTTACAAGGACACAAAGTGTGTACAAGGACCGACACGCTATTTTAATGCCTGCTTGACAAAAGTAAACAAGTCTTTTGCATGTCATTCATTCGATCACATTTGTCAGGTGGGGAAGAATTGCCGACCGAATTGCTAGTGTGAACCAGGCTTATACACGATACCTTTAGGAAAGCACGATGGTCACATGACTGCCAACTCACGTGTACATAATTATTGACATGCATCCTTGTTTGACGCCAGCTTAAGATACGTAACATACCAAAGTTCAACATATTTTATGAACTTATTTTCCAGCCATAAATTTACCAAAATATGAAGGGATATCTTGCTATTTTCGCTGTTCTAATTGTTGTCTATTTGTTGAAGCTCACTGACGCAACCTCAAAACCTTTAGGTAAGTGATAACTCATCTGATAACTGAAACGTGGTAAAATATATTTATACATACATTATTCAGATATCACTCTCTATCTGGGTTTTCAGTGACCGATTACATAAAATATTATGCTAACCAATGTTACAAATTACTTGCCAATACTATTTATCTTTACCACAATATGCTATTACTTTCCCAACCATGTTTATCCTAACCTAATCCACCCTATCAACTTTGCATGTGGGAGGAAACTGGAGCGCCCGGAGAAAACCCACCACCAGGGCGCTTATATAGAGGGCGGTGAAACGCGCTAATGTCGTGCTGATCGATGTGTGATGCGGAAAAGGACTGGCACGAGCGTGCTTTTTGGCAAAAGTTGACAAGGAGCGTGATTTTTCCTGCTGTTGTATTTTTGCTGTTTTTTCATTAACTACGAAATTCTTGAGGATGTTTTTGCACTGTAACGACGAAGTAGTAACTAGTGTATCGTACGAATGCTTGTTTGGCCTGTATAGTTGAATTTTGAAAGAAATATTGAGGATAATGAGTCGGCTTTTGATGACTTCAATGAAGGGAAATTTTCAAAACAGCATTTGGGCATGTTATCAAGTCGTCCAAACTTCGAAATTCAGTTGATGGTAAAGATTATAATTATGTGCTTATCTCCAAAAGTTTTCATAAGACTCGGAGTTGAGCAATTGAATACACAGCGTTGGAAAGTGAGGTATTTTTGTGTGTTAAATTTTGCCTAATTAGACCATTATTTCGCTGCAAAAAAATAAACAACAATTGTATTTTGGCCATGTCGTGATTTTTGGTTATTATGTTAATAATTTTGTACGACTTTTAAGGCATTCAATTGAAGTAATTCTGAGCCGTAAACATATTTTACTTCTTGGCCTTTGAATCAAAATACGACTCGCTCGGACGTTTGTTGAGCGCAATAGTCGAAAAAGTTTCGTCCCAACTTTGATTTTTTTTGACCGGCTGGCCAAGACAACTTCTCGTAAGGATTCGTTAAAAAAATACAAATTCAAGTTGAGCATTTCTTGATTTTCAACTGAAAAGATCAACTAGTGGCTAAAATTAATTGTGAATTGTATTCTATCGAACGTGAACGATACGTGTACATCCGAAGAGTTTTAAAAACCTTTCACGTCATGCTTCTTGCGAAAGCAACCGTTCGCAAGCGTTTTGAGCAAAAACTCTAAAATATTGGCAGTATTACCTGAAAATACAATAGCAGAATCTACTAAATTATCGTATAACATCGGAATTTTACCCCCAATATCTATTTCTTCATCAAAACTTGACTACAAAACAGTCAAAACTTCCAGCTCAGTTTTCCCGCCATATTTATCCTTGCCATATAAGACAACGTCGCCATAGTAACCACAACAAACTCGTTACCAGTTCATTGCATCACACATCGATCGGCGCGCCTATAGCCGTTTCACCGCCCTCTATATAAGCGCCCTGCCCACCACTTTCGGCAGAGCGTTGACAGACGCTTTTTACATGTGTCGACCGTATCCAAAATCGGACCCGCAATGTCAGAGGTGAAAGGCGATTGCTCAGACGGTTGCGCCACCAAAGCTCCCGCCGGCTTGGGCTGAGAAGTTCAAAATCAGCGGTGTTTGCATGATTGCGTCTGCTTCTTATGCTGTTTCATTATCAACCAGAATCTCACTTTAAATAGTTCCGGTGGCCCAGTTTGTTACTGTCAATGGCAGAAGAATATTGGCAAACGTCAATACTAGTTCGGACATGATGCACTGATCTCAAAACTATACAACTGGATAGAGCAATCTTATGCATTCAACGAATTACTGTTTTCAAACCAGAATATTTATACTGCATGAGTAAAGATTTTTAAATCTGTCATATTCCTTACGAATCAAATCGTTATACGTGTTTAAATCAGCCATACAATCAATCAAATATCACGTAACTTGAAAGATACAGCTTTATATGCCTCTTTTAGTTATTAATGAGTGTTAGGTCGTTTTAATTTAAACACACGACATAATGAGATATTCGTGTGACCTAATTAATTATTCACTCAAGAATTTCAGAACGGAAAAGAGGCCACTAAAAACAACCAATTTCTCTCTAGACAATATCTTTCATACTTCCACCAATCACCATAAATTTTAAGAACCCCTTTAACATTTCAACAATACCACAATATATATAGAGCCCTTGCCAGGGACGCCGGAACTGGGGGGACAGCAGGGCAACCGCCCCCGTTGCCCTTTACCAGGAGGGGCAAGGGGGGCAAAGGTGCCCTTTCAATTTAAATGATTGCCTTGGCGAAATAGCTAATTGTCAGAAATGTTAGTGCGATTCTTTTACGAATTTGCTTCAGAAAACGCAAGAAATGCAGTCATCGAGCTTCAAGAATAGCACAATCGCCTGGCGGAGGACCCCCTCACACCCCTATCATCCAACAAATAGAAAACATGATTAGGCGAAGTTCAACTCCCGATGTTTTGCAAACATCTTTTAGTATATATCAATTTTCAAAAGTGCCCTTTCACGAAAATCTGCCCCCCTTGCCTTCACATCGTCCCTTGCTTCATTTGTGCATGGCAGATGCTCCATCCAGTCCTAGTACTGAGGTCAGAGGCATTATGTCAAAACAAACCATTTCTATCTAGTATCTGAAAATGCTATTGCTCAGCGTTGCCACTCGTAGTGAAATTTCACTATTTGTAGTGAAATCAGTCCGAGCGTAGTGATGTAGTGAAGTGACGAGTTACGGGGTGCCCAGACATTAGTATCCAGTTTCACGTCAGCACGAGGCCACTGAGCTACATTATTTTAGTTAATTTATTCAACTCTGAATTTGCAAATATGGCGTCGACAACAAACAACATTGATGCGGACGAATATTCTGAAGACCAGCAGCACGTGGAACCGGGGCAAGGGTCATCGAATTCGAAGAAGGCAAAAACTTGGAGAATGCAGAATTTTTCCGATTCGTGGCCAGGTGAAAAACAAAATTGTAAAATTGTTTATTTTTTGTTTGTCTGTTAAATCATCTGTTATTCTGTTAATAAAAAGACACTCTTACTGGTTTGTTATCATTTAGCGATCGATATCAGGCCAATATCTAACAAAAACCTGCCATGTAGTGAAATGTGCGGCAAAATAGTGAAATTTAGTCACTGATACAGTGAAATGTGAAAAATCCGAGTGGCAACACCGCTATTACTACTGACTAGGAATTGCAAGAGATCAATGGCAGCATGCACAATTTGCTGAATATGATCCCGCTTTGCCATGCAGGACGAGATGTGAGCCGGGATTATTTTGATGTATTGAAATAAATTACGGTGGACGATTCAGCAAAAAACTACATTATCTTCTAAAGATAGATTATATTTAACAGGAGGGGCAAAGATGCCCTTTCAATTTAAAGGATTGCCTTGGCGAAATAGCGAATTGTCAGAAATGTTAGTGCGATATCTTTTGCGAATTTGCTTCAGAAAACACAAGAAATGCAGTCATGGAGCTTCAAGAATAGCACAATCGCCTGGTGGAGAACCCCCTCACACCCCTATCATCCAATAAATAGAAAACATGATTAGGCGGAGGTCAACTCGCGATGTTTTGCAAACATCTCTTAGTATATATCAATTCAAAAGTGCCCTTTTCACGTCCCCCTCCTTGCCTTCACATCGTTCCGGCGTCCCTGCGTACGTTGAAGCAGCAATAACAACCTTATTGAACTACAAGATCTTCCCTACAAGTACAAAATTTGAGTTCTGTTAAACCAAAATTTGAACTTTAGTTTGGCCTAGTGACTTATTTCAATACATTAAAATCACCCCCGCCTTCCAACATCTAAACAGCCCCTAAGACGCCTGTTCAGAAGGTATAGGAAAAGTGCAATTTAAATATCAAACACCTTGCACAAAGTCGAAGGTCAGTTAAATATTATACTTCTACTTTCTCGGCATGGCCGTTTTTATATGAATACTTTTAATGCTTATAATTTTCTTGCCTTCGTATGTATAATTATAATATTATCTGTGGCGACGCTAGCCATAGCAACAGGTCATGTTATGCAAATTTGTAATTTATAATTGCATTATTCAAATGATGCAGGTTTCATGATTTAAAGCATTTATTAGCATGCACAACGTGACCAGTTGTCATGGCTAGCTTTCCACAAAATAACCTATATATATATATATATATATATATATATATATATATATATAAACAGTTTTGTTTTTCGTTATAGATAAAAGAGTGCTCAATACTACAAATTATTTAGCAGAGCGAATTAATTTGTTATCTTTGTTATATATATATATATATATATCATATATAGAAAGACTAAGTCAGTTTTTGTCCCAGTTATCGTTTAATAAATGGTACCTTCAAGGCTACCCCTATCGCAGTGCAACCGAACAGTATGTTGATGGGAGACAAAATCTATTTGTTGACATTTTTGTTTAATTAATGCGTCAGCTTCAGATGACACCATTCATTGTACTCAAATATTGTACTCAGTTGGAACAGCAAATGCAAAACTATATAATAAGAAAGAAATTGTGAGCATTATCGAAAAATATAGTATACCCAGAAGGGAGTATCTATTTGGAGCGGGGAGCGGGTCGAGGGTAAAAGGAACGGGTTGCGGGTAAAAGGAGCGGGTAATGAAAAAAAGGAGCGGATAATTAAAAAAGGAGCGGGTAATTTCCCAGGTGCGCGGCGGCAACCACTTGAGCCTGTTTGCTTTCTCTTGGACGACGCTCTAGATTTACTGTGAATAATCGTTTAAATCATTCATCAATCCTAACCTCTTTATTTGAAAGAATTAGTTCTTTTTATTCTAAAGGTATGTTTTTATTCAACTATTTCAACAATTGCCAATAGAATCATTTTAATCATTTGCCACTCATGATGGCCGCCATGTACGTAAGGCATGTACGTATGCCGCCGGAAAGACGTTTGAGCACTAAATAGCTGTATTTCAACAAGGAGAAAAGCTAAAAACTTTCAATAATACTTAAAATTTAATACAAAACGTGTTTCCAAAACGTAGAGCAGTTCTAAATTAAAGTTGTTTTCTCAGGAGTCAGAGTGCGAAGTTTTTTTCGGCACGTTCAAACTTGTGTAATATTTTGAATAGGAAACCCAGTTACCCAGGAAGTTTTTGCTGTTGGTGGATGTAAAATACCATCCAGGAAGCCAGGTTTGAATGTTAAAGTTGAAACTTTTGATAAAAAAGTACTTTTTCTTGCTAATTTTCGCTCGAAAACAAACTTTTGACTAAATTTCCTGCTCCTCAAAACTCTCTCTAGTCCTTTTGAAAGTTAGTTTTCAAATTTGGTTTTAACCAATCATAGGACTTGATCTCTGGAGTTATCGTTCCTGTTTTCTTATAGCTCACTGGTTTAGACTAGTTGTAGGTTAACAAAATAGGCTTAAAATAGGATCGGATAAATTTATAGTAAAAAATTGTTTATAGTTTCCTTTGCTCTATAGAGTTAGTGATGCATAACCACAGTTTGGAGAGGCAATAGCCGAGACAGACTGTAGATTTTTGAGTACCACTTGTGTTATAATAATTTTTGTCCATTTGGTGACCCAAAAACGTTGCGCTTGTGTGTACGTATTTTCAGCACGTCATTGTAAGACATGTTCAGGCTGTTAAATATCTGTCAATTTAACATTTGATAGAAATTTCGAGATGTTTTATGTGAAGTCAATGGTTTCACTTTGTAAAAATGGTCCTCATATTGTTTACACTTTCATAAAAAAATGTCTTTTTTGCTTTAAAATTCACCACCGGCGCTTAGCACCTGGGAAATTACCCGCTTCTTTATTAATTACCCGCTCCTTTGTTTAATTACCCGCTCCTTTTCCCCGCGACCCGTTCCTTTTACCCGCGACCCGCTTCCCGCTCCAAATAGATACTCCCTACCCGGAAATGTAATGACACAGCCAGGTGAATGTATGAGTAGACCGGTAGGATTATTTCAATTTAGAAAAAAAATTAAGAGGTATAAACAGACCATCAGACATCATACCTTGTACAAAAGTCGTTTGACATGCTATTTACATGTATTAAACATAGATATCTTATATACACTAGATAGCGCATCTCTTCTAGTAAAATTGAAGCCAAGAATATTCCAGCGGTTACCCCATTTGAATAGATGGCGGCCATGTTGAAGTTTCCCACTCGCTAATAAACGCTTAAAAACAACAATAACTTTCATCATTTGAATAGTTTGAAAATGTATTTGGAATAGGTTTAACTTAATGTTTAAGTTCCCTGTTTAAGAAATAGAAAACATACGAGTCTTCTCATTTCATGGGAATATCCTGAGTCTGCAATCACGGCTTCGATTTTTGAATCGCAGAATAATTAGATGCACTATCTAGTGTATATAAGATATCTATGGTATTAAACTGCTGGTAAGTTAATATATACAGACAACAATCCCTACACTGAGTTGTTATAGGAATCTTATTAATTAAATCACCTGATTACGTGAATATTAAGTAACATGCAGTCTGCGTTTGTTCTTGAACGTGCTGCATGAAGGCACATTGCTATACACATCTAGAATGAACTTTATAAACTCATCGCATTGCCAACTCGCCACATAAACACATATTAAACAAATAAACTAAAAGTACATTTTCACTCCTTGTATAACAGACATTGACGAATTGATCAGTGACAGTGGCCAGTAGGCTAGTGTAAAAGTCTTAAAACTGTCGATAGATTCATGAAATCATATGTTTCAACGCTAAACAGCAGATCGAAAATATCATAAATGCAAAATATTGTCGAATGTCGATTGTTTGCATCGTGAAAATCCAACATATAAGCTCGCATTATGCGTGCGAAATACAAAATATTTATAGCCCAACTGTTTAAAAAAATTTCCTGAAGCTGTAATTATTTCCCCGGAATTACGAAGCCCTGTCAGACACACAACCATATAGCACGTCAAGAATAGTGTGCTGTCACGTCGCGCTTGGTACCAAACATACTTGAAATAATAAATATTTTATTCTCTCTACATGATGTTATTGACGAGGAGAAAATCGACCAATATTTCGAGTAAGAGGAGTTGAGGATCCAAATTAAACTTCTAAGAATGGCTTCCATGCGCACGATGTCACTTGAAGAGTCACAATTTTGAGGCACCTTAAGGCCAGTTTACACCCGCAATTTTTGTTGCGATTTCTATTGCGATTTTTCTTCTGAGGGATGTGAATGAGTAAATAAGTTATAAATGCTCTGAGTATATGTTCCCTCATCTAAACATTCCTAACTCATTCACTCGTTCACATACATCAGGAGAAGAAAATCGCACCTAAAATCGCAGCAAATATTGCATGTGTAAATGGGTCTCTACAAGGATTTTGTTTATAGGATTTTATCACTCGCACTTGCATTCTTTGGGAACAGCTAATACTGTGTTCCCAATTAATTGAACGAATACACCTCTATTTTTATCTTTAAACCAGCGTTGGTCATTGCATATCAAAGAACAGCAGATTATAATGGTTATAAATATCGCTACGTTGTCACTCCTACACATACGTCTGTTCGTTGGGTAGACTTCTATAGAGCTGAGCAAGAATGTGTCAAATGGGGAGGACATTTGACAAGTATTCATTCACAACAGGAGCTTAATTTCGTTAAGGTATAATTTAATATTTAGTTTACCATTTATATTTTCGAGACCGGATCAAAGTAGGCCACAATCTCGTTCCCCGAGCCTGCGATCCTTGGGAAGGAAACGAAGGCTCTGGGATAATCCATCTCAGAAATTAATATGATTGGTTGCTGGTATACAATGGAATGTTGCAATTTTGCAAAAATTAATTTTTAACCGTATATTTTTATATACAACATGGCGGCCGTTTAGGAGTGTACGAATATTGTTTTGGTTTTTCAGAGCTGTGCTATATACTAATACTATAAAGGAAATGCAAAGAAACGTATACTTAATGCGTATAATATCACAACAGTTAAATGGAGCGTGAAAACTTTACTCATATTTGTGTTGTACAGGTTTTCTGTAGTTTTAATCTATACATAGTATACAGTACTGTCAGTACACTGTACTATTTAACTATTTTTTTAAATTTTATTTTCCCATGTATAAAAATCTACTTAAAATATATTACAATAATTTGAAGATGTTGGGCTACAGACCTACTAGAAATCTTCATAGACTTTTTATTTAATACTATAATATCAAATATGTGCTATATTTTGCAAATAATATTTGTGTCAGAAATGGTTAATAACTTTTATTAATTTGTCTTTGTGTTATTTAATTGCGAAGAACTAGTTAATGATTAGTTTCAATAAATCCAATCTTGGGATTTACTGTTATATATTTTATTATTTAATGTATATACTGTGCTGTAAACTTTTCAAGTGCAGTAGTATGTAATTTTAACTCATTTTAACTTGTAGCATGTAGCCTTCCCTATATGGGTGCATATGAATCTTTTGCTGTTATAATTTATTTATAGAAGAGTTCAAAAAACCTTTATTCTCTAAATAAACCACAATTTCACAGGCAGTGATATTAACTTGTATTCCAGTCTGCATACACCTAATGCACCTATCAATGTTAACCCCCAGAGGGGGAGGGGGGGGGTCGGGCATATGTGGGGTATTTGATCATCAATTGCATCCCCACCCTGGGGATTTTGAATAGCATTTTGGCCCCGAGTTGGGGCAATTTGAACCGAATGAATGACTTTTATTAACATAGTATTTATTTCAATTTATTGCAAAATGGTGGGGCATTTGACCAATATTTATTGCCCAACGGTGGGGCATTTCATTGAAAATTTGCTCTAAAAATCAAATGCCCCACCTGTGCCCGCCCCCCCCCCCTCCTCTGGGGCTTAACATTGATAGGTGCATACTGCATAATACATATAATGAATTCTTGGGTTTCACTATGGCATTTTGCACATTCTGTCATTGGTTCTGATGGGGGGTCAACCTAAAAAATAAATGTATTGATGCTTATGTTGTACTGGAGTGAGCAAATGATATGAAATTACATGTATTTGCTACCAAACACAAGGCCAACACATACAGTGAAAAATCAATTCACTCTGATGACTGTGTCTCGATTTAGAGTTGACCACCCATGAAATTTATGAAGTCATATGAAACACAATAATATACAGTATAATATTACTGACAGCTAATTGTAGCATAAAGTATTTAATGATTTTAATTTATTGAATAGCACAATATGCCAAATTGCCAATCCCTTTGTTAATCTTGTCCACACAGTAATTCAAAGAAGCCCTGCCCTTGTACGAGGTTGTATTAATTGGATTCTGTCCAAGAAAACATCATAAACCTTTTGATCCAGATGTTACAAAGTATGAATTTCAGATTGGGAGACCATATAAATATTTTTAATAAATTCATATACTTTTTTAAAGAAATGTTCTATTCATATTAAATGACAGTGATCAGCCACCAAAACCAGAATTCATTTTCATCAGCTTCCCCCTGGTTATGACTCCCTGCAGGGAAACACCTAGGGTGCAGATATAATTTTGTGATGAATGATAAAAAATTGCCCAATATAAATTCCAAGCCATAGCAATATTTTATTACCATGGTCATGACAACTACCCTGTCAGAACATGGTCCAATACCACGATACGATACGAATGGTAAATTTCATAAATCTACCATCTACCATCGGTATTGTTGTCGATTTGTGTCTATTGTACAGTGCATCCGTACCAGTGGTGCGGTTGGTAAGATAGGGTTACGGATCGTGAAAGTAAGTTTACCATCCGTAAACCAACGGCCATGGCAGTTGGGGTACCCTTCCAAATCATGTCGAGTGGTACCAGTGGTACCACTGGTAAGATATGAGTACGGATCGTGAAAGTAAGTATACCATCCGTGAACCAA